ATAAGAACAAAATTCAGTCTTGAACACAACTCCAATCATAGAAAAGTGAACTATCATTGATGAAAGTTAATGGAGAAGGATGTTTAAGTTGTCAGAAGCAGCTCTAAACTTCAAATCGCTTATTTTGGTAATAGATGCTTGCTGGCAATACATATCTATGTGACTGAAGGTAGTGAAAGTTGTTTAAAGAAGGCTAGGGGTCAGTGAACAACAGCAGCATGAACTAGCAAAGTTGATGAACTCTAATCCCAGGTCAGAGGCTGATGTTCTTGCTTTTAAAATATTCTTTGCTACCCATGGGTTGTGTGGGGCCTAATATACTTATCATCCACAGAAATAAGTCTCTAAATGAATCTGTCCCAAGTAAGGACAGAGATGTTGGAATTTCATGCTGGTTATACACTGTCATTCTCAAATATTATTTACTACATTACAATCACATGAAGAAGTGTTTTTCTTGAATTCTCCAGGAATTCACCCTTAAGAGATACTGATTCAATATATCAATATGTTTAAGTGGAGGTTTCCTAAAGCTTTTCAATTAATTCTGATGCTTCCCAGTATGGAAACTAGTATAAAATATTGCCAATAATAACAAAACTGCTGTCAGTGTTTTAGGAGGTCCTATTTTTGGTGTTTTGCCTGTAATGTTAAGATTTAATTCATTAGAAAAAGGGCACATTTGAAAACTAGATGAGGAATGTAGGTCAGTTAGTATAGTTCATTTTTTTTTACAGAGCAATAGAAATGGACAAGGAAAGTCATCTTGACATAGAGGCAACGAATTTTCAATTACCTATAAGCATACCACAAGTATAATTAACAGTAGTCTTGAGGAAGCATGAATATCCAAAGGGTTAGAATTTGCATCCTGAATCTGATCCAGTCTTGGGCCAGTGCAATTCACAGATTGGCATGAAAGACTCTGTGCAGTATCAGAACTGGTCTTGATTCTAAACTCAACATTCTCTTTCCAACAATGCCAATTTAGGATTAAGCCAGACACCAGAGGACCTATGCTTTCTAGATCTAAGTAAAAGTGGACTGGCTTCCTGAAAATCCAAATCCTTCACGACGCCCTCCAATATCAACCAGTTGTAAACAACACTTCCCAAATTCTTCTTAATTTAGGTAATTCTTACCCAGTATTCATCATCCTCTTCAAATTTAACTGGTATGAATATCTTACTCATTTTACATCATTTCCTCCTTTTACCTTGTAAACATTCTGCTTTATTACTGATGTCTCTGATAAATTATCCAGGAAAGCACAAAAAGTGCCTGTATAATAGTACACATCCAGTTAAAACTCATTTCTTTGATGATGAGTACTTATCTCTGTGACAGGAGATAAGTACTATTGCATAATTCATAAAAAGTCATGAAGTCCTTAGGGCTGGGGATGTAGTTTGGTGATAGAATGCTTGCTTACCATGTGCAAGAAAGCCCTGGATTCAATCCCCAGCACTTGAAGTGGGGAAAAAAAAAAAAAAAAACCTTTGTGAATGAAGTCCTTGAACATGGTTCAATATCACTCAGGTTAAAACAAGAAAATATTGTGAGGACAGAGGAAATAGTAGCATTTTTAAGTCTGATAACTCAAGTCCAAGGACATTTAGCTGTCATGCGACAAATAAACAGAAGTCAGCTAAGCTCGAGGCTGTCATTTTCTAGCTCCTATCCCTGAAAATGAAGGTCATTTCTTATTTGCAATCTTGTTTCTCTCAAGTTCATGTGCCCTGTGCCTAAGTGGAATCTCCTTCCCCTTTCCCTCTTCTTCCTCCATTAACTACCACCATTTAGCAAAAACATCAAAGAAATTAAGCTTTTAAAACCTAACCCATGTAAGAAATGGCAATTACAAAGCTTAAAACAGTATCAACAGTAGAAAAGCCCTATCATTTTTACATTAAGGCATATCTCCTCAGATTGCCACAAATCCCTTATTATTAATTATGCCTACTTATGTCTATAAATACAACAAAATCTGTATTCAATTAGCATGAATTAGCAACTTTTAAGCAGTTCCTCTTTTTATATTCAACTCTAGACACAAGAAAATCTCTTTGGTCCTGATGGGAAGTTAGCTCCAGAAATATTACTGTAATTTAAAAACCTTTAAAAACTTTTAAACTATGCTTCTGATGAGTGATGAGACTGAATATTAAGCAACTATTATAAGCTTTAGTCTACCTAAGAGGCAGCCTACAGATCAATACCTATAAAAATAAAAACAAAGGACAGATACAGCTTTTAAACTAATAATACTGTTTACATTAATTGTATTTTTGGAACCAAACAATAGTCATAGAAGTTTTCCAATCTTTACACACATGCTTATAAAGAATAAGGTTATCATAAATCCCAGTTTACACACTCTGTCCCTAATATTCAAAAAGAGTTTTCCTAGACCAAACCAAATAATCAAAAATCTGTTTTAGGTATTGTAGAAATATCCTTATTAGCATGAAGTGACGTGTCAGGACCACTGCAAGATATTTCCTTTTTTAAAAAAAATTCACTGAAATAACCTGGCTTCTTCAATAATCAAAAAAAATTTCTATCAGGCCTCAGTGCCAGAAAACATCCTTTCCCACTGCAACTACCTTTTTGATTGATGGACATATCCATTGCTATAACTAACCATATTACCTTGTGTAGCCTACCAGTTTCTCAGAGCTGATTCATGTCCTAAATGTACACATTTTTGGATGTAACTTCATTTTAACTAATTTCATGCAGAAACAAAACTTCCCCATTTAAAAATACTGTACACTTTTTCATAAATCCTTTTGGAACATGGAGGGGTAGAAACTATATAACTGGCTACTAAATAAGTCTACTAGGGTTTCCACCTGTACTTAGCTTAAGTGCTTCCTTGAAATAAAAATGATCCTATATCATGGGCCAATAATAAATTGCAATAATTTGCAAGGAAAAGAAAGATGCTCTCATATCCCTATTATATAACCCAAGGTAGACTATCAACTGTCTTCCAACTTTTCACCAGCTCCAAATAGATCCAGGGTTATAAAGGTTTTAGACTTCTTTGGAACAAGACCGGGGTGGGGGGGAGGGAGAAGGGGCACAAAACATGCCATCTTAGATCTTTTTTGAGAATCAGACAAAAACTATAAATCCAGGAAAGTACAAATTATCACAAAATAATATTCACTACGGGTGGGGGAGATAAATACTCCCAAGCTCAATAATAAACCTAAAGTTAAGAACACCTTTCTGGAAATGTCAAGCCTAGGTGCTCTTTAGAACTTAAAATTTTTGCATATTATACAATTTTCACGTAAAAAGTTTCAAAGATGAGTTTGAGATCAGGAATATCTCTTGGCTCACATTATTTACTCTGTACGTAAAGTAGTAAGCTCTATCTCAGCCTTGTCAACAGGTTTACTTTTCCTCAGAGCACCTCCGTTCACCTAACATACATTTATTATCTCCACTGACTAGAATGGAAGCTCCATGAGGACAGGGACTTATTTTACTCATGGTTGTTCCTCTGGTGCACAGGAGGCACTCAATATTTTTTCAATGAATTTCCTAAAGGAGATTCTACTCACTATAGTGGAATTGGCAAACTATAGCCTACATGCCAAATCTAGGCTTCCACTGGTTTTTGTAAATGAAATCACCTTTGGGACCAGAATTAATTCTTTATTCCTTTTTACCTAGAACAGAGCAAATGTTAAAAATAGCTATCATTACAGAAAAAAATACAGATTTTCTACTTCCAGCATATTTTCACACAGTTAAATCCAAAGCTATTGTGTTCCATCATCAATGCATTTATAGTAAGGCCAAAACCAAAGAGTACCTGTATTCAATAACTAGAGAACAAGTAGAAAAAATTTGGATGCTAATTAGTACCAACTTTCTGATTCAAAATAATAACCATGTAATCTTTAAAATGTGAATGCAACATAGCAATTAGAAAGCTTTTCCCTTGTGTTTCAAGTGATTTTGAGGTGAACCATGGTTATTTTCTCAAAAGTCAAAAATCACTTTAATGAAATACTTTTTATGTTAGGCACATTATGGGTGCTCAACAGTGGAGTGAATAGATCACTCACAAATAATTATTCTGCATATTATCTTCCACAAATTACAATTACCTGAAAGGGGGCATCACGATTCATGCCCCTTTGTCAATTCTAAGATAGGCTCAATATTTCTTTTTTAATGTCTTTTAATATTTTTTAGTTGTCAATGGGACTTTTATTTATTTATATGTGGTGCCGAGAATCAAACCCAGTGCCTCACACATGCTAGGTAAGCACTCTACTTATCACTGAGCCACAACCCCAGCCCCTCAACATTTCTTAATTTTTTAAAAATATATATACTTTTTGTCTCTGAAAATTTTGATTTGTATAAGTATCATTGTTTCTGAAAGCTCAACATGAAGTGGATACTTCTGGGCATATGTTCAGCCCACTGCTTACTCCAAGTACACAAGTAACCAAACAAAATGTTTCGTTTTTCCATATTATAGGATAATGTTATCTGACAATAATGTAGTTTATCCACAATAAAATGGAGAAGGGCTAGGAAGCTCAATGAATTATCTTTGCTAAATTATTCTAAATAAGCAACAATATACACAATGATATACAATCATTTGAGAAAACTATTTTTTATTTAGAAAAAAAGTTTACACTGGTAGAATTCAGTAGATTAAAAAATTCTCTTTTAAAAATGTCACTGTGAAACTTTTCCAGATGAAAGTTCAGCAATACAAAGCTCCTATAGCTGTAGAATTAAAACACAATTAACTTTTGACATCCCTCCCCCAAGATTTTTGTAAATACAAGGAAAAAATGGCAAGGGACAAGTGAGCGCTATTATCTTTTTCTTTTTTAAACAGGTTTTAATGTACATGTTCTATATAAAATGATTCCTAGGCATTGCATAAAGACACTCCTTCCAATTTAAGTAATATTAAAAACAGGCCAAATAATAAATTAAAACCGAGCTTTAAAATGAGGTAAATTCAAAATGGTTCAATAATTGTTTATTTTCAGTTTCAAACAGTAAAAAGGAAGCATTTAAAATGGGGGAGGGGGGAGACTAAACTCAGGCAATATTTAGTTAACCAAAAGTGAAATTCTGTACACATGTAACCTTATTTGCTTGTTGGGAAGTGTATGCAGCACATTGTGCTAAAAATATGGAACAATCAACACTTTCAGCCATTACTGAAAATAAACATGTAGAAATTAAGCAACAAGTTAAAAATACAGTAATGCACAACTCAACAATTTTAGGTTTTCCACATGGAGCAATAAAGCAGATAACTGAATAATTTAAGGAGATGCAAATGGGCCCTCTTCATTCATAATTCTCGGCAATCTACTCAGGAAAATAAATTTCTGGTCACAGATGAACAATTTCATTCCAATCTCACCTGAAAGAAACAAAGTGATTATATTGATAGATAAGAAAGGAAGGAAGGAAGAGAGGGTATGAGGGAAGTCAAAGGAAGAGGGAAGGAAGTAGAAGAGAGGAAGCAAGGAAGGATAGAAAGGAGGAGAGTGGGCAGGGTGGGGAAGGAAGGTAAGGAAAGGGGGAGGAAGGGAAGAAAAAAGAAGGAAGGAAAGAAGTTTAAAGAAAGAAAAGTTAGTGAGTTCCGTCAATAACAAAGACTTGAATTGAATTGCCAGAAAAGGATGAAAATATTCATGTATTTCTCATTGTCCACTCTTAGAAACCATTTGGATGGGCATACTATGTATGACTCTTTAAAAAAATACAACACTGAACAATTTGTGTATAAAGGAGTGGTAGGGGTTAGGGGAGGGGAAAAAATAGCAAGAAGTAAAACATTCCATGGGGCAAGTAATAGCTTATCAAAAATGAACAGAATACATTTACCAAAGAAAAGGAACCTATTTTACATAATTAACAAAAAAGAGGAAAATAACATCACATTTTTCACAAGGACACAATTTTAATAATGACTTATATTAAGATGCAACGTCTGCTAAATTATAAAAATTGCTTAAAAAATATATTGACTCAATTATACTCATTTCCTTTCCTTTATGTATTGACATTTTCAAATACTGCATATTGAAATAAATTCAAAACATGATCATTACAACATGTGGCAAATAACTTCATATCTGCCTAACATTTGTTCTCAAATTTTAAACTAATGCTTAACGCATTAAACTTTATTGATGAAAATACTACATTCACATATTTCATAAAACGAGAGCTAGAAGGGGCCTTAGAAAATAATCACACTTGCATGAAATGCTGACAAATAATTTACATATCATTTCTACACAGAATTCTGTTCACACCATGTATTAATCTTGACATTATCAATTATAATTGTGGATACACTGATGTTGAACTTACAATTTAATACTTAAAGTCATTGTTCCTGTTCATCAACTGATGAATAGATAAACAAAATATGATACACATTCACACAATGGAATATTATTTACCCATAAAAAGGAATGGAGTACTGATACATGCTACAACATGGATGAATCTTGAAAACATGATGCTAAGTGAAAGAACCTGGACACAAAAGGCCACAGTATTGCATGATTCCATTCATATGAAATGTCCAAAATAGGCAAATCCGTAGAAAGTACATTGTGGTTTCCAGGGGTTGGAGGAAAGGGAGAATTAAGAGTGACTGCTAACAAACATGGGGCTTCTTTTGGAGGTGAGAGAAATGTTTTGAAATTAGACAGTGGTGATGATTGCACAATATAATGAATATACTAAAAACCATTGAATTGTACACTTTAAAATGGTGAATATCTCAATTTCTTCAATTGAAAAAAAAGTAATGTTCCAATAAAGAACATCATGGTGTCCATATGACCATAATTAGTAGAATAAGAAATGGGTACTCAATCATGAAGACATCACATTAGGAGAATTACTAGGCAAGGGAAATTGTAATGACATACTTAAGGGGACATTAAAGGATAAAATTCATGTTGCTATTAAAACATGTAAAGAAGATCTTTTCCAGGAACTGAAATTAAAATTTTTACAAGAAGCCAAAATCCTCAAGTGACATAATCATCCCAACGTTGTCAAACTTATAGGAGTTCGAACACAAAGACAGCCTATCTACATCTTTAAGGAACTGGTTCCAGGACGTGGTTTCCTCTCCTTTCTGAGAAAGAAGGATGAACTAAAACTCAGTTAGTTAGTGAAATTTTCATTAGATGCTGCTTCTGGATGGCGTATCTCGAGTAAAAATTGTATGCACAGGGACCTTGCTGCAAGAAACTGCCTGGAGGTGAAAATAATGTTCTGAAAATCAGTGACTTTGGAATGTCTCATCAAGAGGATATTGGTGTATATTCATCTTCTGACTTAAAGCAGATTCCCATTAAATGGACAGCACCAGAAGCTCTTAATTATGGGAGAGATCGTTCTTAGAGTGACGCATGGAGCTTTGGCATCCTCCTCTGGGAGACCTTCAGCTTAGGGGTCTGTCCATACCCTGGAATGACAAATCAGCAAGCACAAGAGCAAGTGGAAAGAGGATACTGGATGTCAATCTCTCATCAGTGTCCAGAGAATATTACAAAATAATGCTGAAGTGCTGTGATTACAAACTTGAAAATTGCCCCCAAGTTCAATGAACTTCAGAAGAGCTAGCTATCATCAAGAAGAAAGTCACATAGCGATGAAACAGTGCCAAATTCAGTCTTTGGGACCCTATCTTCACCAGAGTTAATAGTTTTCTTCTCTTTAACATTGAATTTATATCACATTACCTGCAATATTCTTTAAAGTTTATTTTTTAAACTAACTTCTTTTTAAAAAATGTGCCATTTTAACCACTGTAAATAAGAAAGCATAGGTTCTAAATGTAAAGGGTCACAGAGATTTGTCTTTTTCACACCTAGGATTGTTGATGTTTCTCAAAAACACTGTATCCTTCAGGCTCAATTCAGTCTGCTGTCCTTCACCACAGACATCGACACTATATTGACTATGAACTGTACCACGTTTGTAGGACACATTCAAATAAAAGGTGGCCTTCTACCCCACTGAAGCAGGAATACATTTGTAAACATCATTTTACATTGGTAATTATCTGGACTTCCTAGGTTTTCCTTTTTGCTGAAATAGGTTCTGTATTAGGAAGGTTATCATTTTCCTATGTTCCACCATGCCCTCCATTAGGAAATCAGAACACTATGCATGAAAAGTCCCTTAAAGAGCACTCTCTCAAAGAGTTGAGGCAGTTGACTCTAAATGATGTTCTAAACAGTTGTGACAGAAAGAGGCAAGTTTGGAAAAGTAAGGTGGTTTGGAGAAAAGGGTAGGTGATCAAAGTGGAGAAGGCAAACAAAATCTTATCAGAGGGATGCCTTTATAAATACATGCTTATTAAGTTTATGGTCAAATACATCAAAAAGGTCCTAAGAAATGTCTCAGTAGTTCATAGATTCCTCCCTAAATAGCCATTTTGATGGCAACAAAAACATTTTAAGAGGAACTATAAAATACAAATCCACCAAAATAATACCTTACTCATGGTTAAGTGTCTTTACCTCAAAGAAGGCATCCCAGAATTGTATTCCCTGCATTTGTATTAGTGTCTGAAGCTGTCAGGATTTCATAATCCGTGTGCGTGTGTGCGTGCGTGCGTGCGTGTGTGCGTGCGTGTGTGTGTGTGTGTGTGTGTGTGTCTCCCCGTCCCCCACACAAAAACACACCAAGTAAAAATGCATATACAAATAAAGTCAATGTTTAAAATGTCAAGTGAACATTTATAAGGAAGAAAGAAATTATAAGGAGAAAGACTTAGGGACAGCCATACCGATTCCACTTTATACCTTCATTTGCCCTTATACTGCAACCTAAGAACTCTCGTAGCAAACAATTACTGAGATGTTCCATGTAAACAAAATGTAACAGAGTTAAAACAGGCTCTGTTGAGATGAATCTTGACTGGATCCAGGGATGCCTCTCAGAATAAATGTGTGCAGAGGACAGTAACACTCGGGCAAAGGTGGCACAGGATCCATTTGTAAGGGCTCATACCCATATTCAGATGTTTAAAAAAAAAACAGTACCTTAGTGAATATTTGTCTACCTTAAGAGGAGGAGTAAGGAACAGAAAGTTCCTCCTGCCCTCAACTGTGTACTGTCTATGAATACCAGTACACAGAGCCCATATCCAGTACTTTTTAAAAGTATAAAGGATAATGCAGACAAAAATGTTTCATGTCTATCATTTCAATCTCCCAACAATAATTTCAAGCATACTTAATGATTACTACAAAATGAAATAAAAGCATAATAAATCTGCCCTCAAAACATGTTGCAACATACAAAACAACTTCTTTTTAATTAGTATGGTTTCCCCTTCTAATAAATAGTGTAAGTAAACTGAACCTACTTTTGATGGCCAAAAAATACTAAAGTGTTGCTCGTTATCAATGTTCACACTGATCCCAGAGAAAACACTACCTCTGCACACAGCTTTCCATGTAAAGTGAACAGAGTATCTAAAATATCCCAAGTAATAAAGAAAACTACTTGGTTGTTTGACTAGAAGGAAAGGATACATAGCCTCTAACAAAATCTAGGAAGGTATATATTCATAGGAACCAGTGACTAGGACAAGCTCACATGTAAGCAATGGCTATCCTAACATACTCCCTACCCCAGTCCACATTATCACCATCTAGGAATAGGCCTTAGAATGGCAATACAATCTTAAAATAAGAAATCTGTGAGAGCTTAGGAAGTAAATTTCCAAGTATGGACTTAAGGTGGAGGGGATTATAAAAATCACCTGTCTATAGGGGCTATATAATGAAAACAAATGAAGTGAGATGAGTGAGGACTGACTGAGGCGAATGGTTTTAACTGTGGGCATCGGGGATGTGCAGGGTGGAAGGTCCTAGCTCTATGTGGGTTGTACCTAGGGAGATCTGATTGTTGCCATGCAGAAATCAGGACACAATGTTATCAGATGTTCTAATTCTTCAAGAAAAACTGAAATCTGGATTTGTCAAATCTTCTGATTGCTAAATTAAACTAATGTTTTTTAAAAAATTAATTTTGTGTGAGGCTAAAGAGGTAAACAGCCACAATTTGACAAGGGGCTGAGAATTTGCCAATCTTGGGTTCAGAAGATAAGAGTTTGTTTACACATATGACAATGGAGATGAGAATTTAACCAACCAAATACACTTGGCCTTGTTGGAATAGAATGTTACAGAAATATAATAAACTAAACATACAGTTGCATAGGATATGAGATGAGGATTACAAATATAAATTAAAATTGAGAAGACAAAAAATGGCTTTGCAGGACAATCTTAATAGGCAGGAATTTATTAATTTCTCTTATTTGTTTATTTATCCATTTGGGTGTTGGGGACTGAATCTCAGCACCCATTTGGGCATTTTATCACTGAGCTACCTCCCCAGGCCCTTTATTTTTATTTTGAGACAGGATCTAGCTAAGTTACTTAGGGTCTTGCTAAATTGCTAAGGTTGGCCTCAAACTTGTGATCATCAATAGGCAAGAATTTTTAAAGAGTAAGGTAGAACAAAAGGTTAAATGCAAAGCTGCTAATGTTCAAGAGACTCAATCAAGAAAGGAAAGGATATATAACCTCCAACAAAACCACAATCTAGGGAGGTAGATAAGTAACATACTTATATATGCTTATTAAATGAAATTGGACAAAAACTTTACAGGTAACAAAAGATACAGGTAACAAAAGATGCAGCGAACAGGCAGAATTTGCAACTAAAAATAGCAGTCAGAACAGGAAGGCAGACTCTGAAAGGAATGTAATCGGGGTCACATTTATATATTTCTTAGTTCTAATGTGATTATTTCAATGTTTCTAAAATCAGGGTGATGGATACAAATCAATAACACTTCTCTAGCTATTCTCCTAAATTGTTCTAAAAATCAATAATGAAATCTTAAAATTAGTGACATCTTTTGTGACATATATTAGCAGCTCTCCTCTCTGTAGAATAGAAAATAAATTTAAAGTAAAGGTAGTAGATTTAGAAGCATCTTAAAGGTAGATGATGCCAATCAAAAATGATGAGATTTATGAAGGAAAGGAAAAAAAGAACCAGAAGGATTTGCCCAATAGCTGAATGAATCCAAATAGAAAGAGGCAGCCAGAAAACAAAACACAGACAGGAAAAGGACAAATCAAGACTCTAACAAAAGTGAAGAGTTTATCCAAGAAAAAAGTATATACATAGTTGTCAGCAAGAAAACTGAAGGAGCTACATTTATCTTTACAAGAACATCTGAATCTAGAAGCTTTGCTACAAGATCAGGAGCCAAACATACAGCTTTAGCCAGCTTTTTCATGACTTTCCTCCAGAGGGATTATATAGACAGGAAAAGTACAAATTCATGGCCAGTATAAGAACAACTCAAATCTTTAGCACAATCCTCACATAAAAAATAATAATACTTAGGAACTGAATAAAAAAAGATGTATAAAAGTATGGTGAAAGTTGTAAGTGACAATGGTGGTCCCATTAAAATGAAGATCTGAGAAGTAGGATTTTTCTTTAATGGAGATCCTAGGTGAAAGCAAAATGCCAAATTAAAAGAAAGATTAAGATGGTCAGGCATGATAGCATATACCTGTAATCCCTGAAGAAAGAGTATTGCAAGTTCAAGGCCAACCTCAACAACTGGTGGGACCCTCATCAACTTAGCAAGACCCTGTCTCAAAATAAAAACATAAGGGAGCATGGTGATGCTTGCATTATAATGTCAGTGATTTGGGAGGTCAAGGCTGGAGGATTTCAAGTTTGAGGCCAGACTCAGAAACTTAGTCTAGAGTCCCTAAGCAATGTAGTGAGAGTCTACCTCAAAACAGAAAATATAAAAAATAAAATAAAATGTGCTGTGGGTATAGCTCAGTGGTAAAGCAAGCCTGGGTTCAATCCCCAGTACCAAGAAATAAAAATAAAACGGACTGAGGATTTGGCTCAGTGGTAAAGCATGCCTGGGTTCAATCCTCAGTAGCAAAACAAAACAAAAGGTTAAGAATTAAAATAACAAAGTTTAAGTGTTTGAACTAAGGAAAGGAATTCTAGCCCCCTCCCCCAGCAAGGAAAACAGCTGGGGTGGAGCAGAATTGAAGGATGGGCAACAGTATTTCTTTTACAATCTTCTTAATTAAAAAAAAATTAGTAAATTTTATATTCTCTTTCAGAACTCTTGTTTATCCTGGTTTACTACTTAGATAACAAACACAAGCTAACAAAGCACAAAAGGCACACCATTATCAGGAGGTCACCAACCTGACAACCTTAAATCCCTGCTTTGCAGCCAAAATAAACATGACAAAACCCACACCCTAAAACCTTTATTCTAATACTGAACTGGCTCTCAGACATTTCTCATTTATAATTTAAACTATGAATAACCCTGGTTATCTATCTGGTTGCATTAAAAAAAATAACTGCAGCAGCCAATAACACTAGGAGCAAGGTAGACAGAACGGGTATACTTAATACCACTAAGACAGCTAAAATGGGCAATAAAAAAGCACAGTCAACAACTTCAAGAATGTCTATTTGGAACTATTAAATGTAGGGAGCAAATCACCCTACAGACTTTGATAATCCTACAGTATCACCAAAAAAGTCTGAACACTCCAAACACTAAGATACACATAATTTACTTAAAATGTTTAAAACACTTTTTACATCTCACATAAAAACTAAATGTATTACCTTGCAAACAAAGTTGTATATTTAAATTCTATAAAAGCACAGACCTTATTTTCTGACGTTGCAAAACATGGACAGTGGTAGGAAAAAAAAAGGCACAAAAACTTAAAAAACCTTTGGATAACTCATTTACCTAACAAGGCAAAAAGAAGAACAGAAAACACTAAATACTTGTGTTCGAGTACTGGCTCAATTAGCTAATATCTCTGTGACCTTCTTTAATGCAAATACCACCAAGACTTACAGAGCTACAGGTATTTTTAAAAGGGAATTAATAATCCAGAAAATATGAGAATGAGTGACAAAGAGAGTGCCAGATGTTCTTAAATACATTCAATGCTTTCCCCCAGCCTAAAGTGTGGCTAATCAACAAACTTAAGATGAAATCAGCTTAAAAATAACTGCAAATCTTACTCTACATCTGTACCCAAAGACTTGGTCATTATATTTAAGTGAAAATTTCAGGTAGCTTTATCTTGCAAAATTGATTTTGTTTCTTCAATATTATCCAATCTCATTTTTATATTTCTATCTTTAAATGAAAAGAAGGTGAGAAAACACTCACCTTGGCTGAAAGTCTTCATTATCTGTGCTTGTCCGAGGACTTATGAGTAGATGACAAATTAAGGGAAAACAACTTTGGGGAGACAGTAGAAATAGCATCCCACCTTTTAATACAATTCCTCATCTTGTAGGTCTAATTGGCTCTTACCAGCCTGGTAGCCTCAAACTCTTATCAGCTCTGCTCATCTGCCACATCATTTTGCCCTTCTATTCACCATGCTCCTAGCCCAAGGCCCTCTGTTCCTTTTTTCTTTTTGGTGACAATACTGTCAGAGGGTCAATAAATTCATTGTTGGCAAAAGACACCTCAGTCACCACAGAAGTTTAAAACCAAAACAAGAACATGAAATCTCCTACTTTCAGATTTCATACATTTGAGAAGATTAACTGGAAAGTTCATTTTGAAACTAATAAATTCCACAGTATTTAGACTACATACTACAAAATGTATAATTCTAAACATGATGGGTAGGTACCAAAGCTTTCCATTAAAACTACTGAAAATTATTAATTAATATTAAGATGAAAAGGATATTGTTTCTTCTCTTCCTTTCCTCCAGAACTGTCCCTTTTCTCTTTCTTTTCTATCTTTTCTTTATCATGCCTGGATTCCTATAAGGAATGGTGAAATTAGTTGGGGAAGGGAAACCAAACACATTTAAAACAACAATCAGCTCAAAATCCCTTTTCATCACCCAATAGCCATAATGTTTCTTCAAAAAGTTAATATGACACCAAAAGCACAAGCAATAAAAGAAAAAAATACACTGGACTCAATCAAAAGTATACACTTTTATGCACCGAAGGACACATCACAAAAATAAAAAGACAGCCTACAGAATGGGAGAAAATATCTACAAACTATATCAGGGATCTAGTATATAAGATACATTAATTAAAAAAACTTGAGGCTGGGGATGTGGCTCAAGTGGTAGCGCGCTCGCCTGGCATGCGTGCAGCCCGGGTTCGATCCTCAGCACCACATACAAACAAAGATGTTGTGTCTGCCGATAACTAAAAAATAAATATTAAAAAAAATTTCTCTCTCTCTTAAAAAAAAAAACAAAACTCTTGCAACTGAGCAACAAATAGACAACTCAATTTTTAAATGGCCAAAGCTTTCTGAATAGATTTCTCCAAAGAAGATATACAAATGGCTAACAAGCAAATGAAAAGACATTTATCATCATTATTCATTAAGGAAATGCAAATAAGAACCATGAGATAGGACTTCAAACCCATTAGGATGGTTATAAAAAAGGAAAAAAAAGAAAACAATAACCAGTGTTGACAAGAATGTAGAGAAATTTGCACCCTGATCACTTGCTGGAAGAAATGTAAACTCCACAGCCACTGGGAAAAACATTTTGACAATTCCTCAAAAAAGTTAAACATAAAATTATTATATAACCTAGAAATTCCATTTCTAGGTATATACAAAAGAGGATTAAATACTTTATAACAGCACACAATTACCTGTAGTAGTACCATTCATAGCTGTCAAAAGATAAAAACCACTAAAAATCCATCAACTGAAAAATGGATGAACAAATGTGGCATATTCATATGCTATGTACTCATAAAAAGAAATCAAGTAATGAAAGATGTTACAACATGGAAGAACCCCAAAAATGTCATGCTAATAAGTAAAGAAGACAGAAACAAAAGGCCATATTATTGTACAATTCCACTTATATATAATATTAAGGATAGGTAAATCCATAGAGACAGAAAGCAGATTAATAGTTGCCAGGGGCTGGGAGGAGGGAAAGTAGAGAGTGACCGCTTAACAGGTATAAGGTTCCCCTTTAGGACAACTGAAATGTTTTGGAACTAAATGGAGATGACTGTGTAACATTATCAACACACTAAATGCCACTGAACTGTATACTTAATTTTATGTTATATGAGTTTTACCTCAATTAAAAAACACATTTAAAAGGAGCAGCCTATTGTTGGAGGCAAACAGAATTAAACCGTTCAAAATCCTTTTCAATTTTTTAAAACTGCATTTGTGAACTAATAATATACTGCATATATTACGAATATATGTAATAATGCTTTGCAAACACACTTTAGTAATGACATTACTTGATGTCACATGCATGAGATTTAATTTGAATATTATCCATTAGCATATAAGAGAATATACCTTATACTTAATTTTAAAACCAAATATAAATTTCAAATGAGTTTATTATTCGGATAAAATATTATGAAATTGGTTCAAATCCCATTTAATGAAGAATTTGACACTGTAATGGTCAAGGAGAATCCATGACATTATATTTTAATCTCAGGAGTGAAGACACTAAAAGCAAAGAATTGTGGGTAGCAAAAAAAAAAAAAACCCACAAAGAAAGCTTACAACTCAAAGACAGAAGTAGGTGGAAGTAGAAGAGAGGAAAGGAAATTTCAAAGGTATATTAACTCTACCCTCCCAGTAATTTGGGACTGATTTGGTTCAAATTCCCAAAACACATAATTTGCCCAATGCCTTTTCTTCCCAATACCAAAAAATTTAAAAACAAAAAACATGACTTGACTAGGGTAAAAATAATCAATATTTGCCAAATTTTCAAAGAGTTTATTTTTTCAAAGTATACTGTTCCATTATATTCCTAATTTACCTTCTTGCCACCAGAAGAGATTTTATCCATCTTCTCAGATTTAAATGAATCACCACCGCCTTTTTCTTTGCCTGAAGATTTTGACTTATTTTTTTCCTTGTCTTTCTCATTTGGATAAGGAGACTCACATGGGCTTTCACTTTTGTGTTTTGAAACCCCCACTAAAATTACAAAAGAGAAATCATAAAAGCCTTTTCTGATATATTTGATGATTGCTTTGAAGGTATCAATAAATCTACCTACTTGTTCCATTTTCCTCTTTCCGCCTCTTGGTTAAGTCTGGTGGCACTTCCCGGTCATTGTTTGAGTGATCCTAAAACCAAGAATTGTGAACTACATTGATCAACAGTTTATGCTTTTATTTTAAAGCATTACTTTTATACAAGAAAGGTACAGCTAACTAGCACTGGAGAATATTTGCAGCAGTTTCACATACTTGGTAAAATGGCATGAAAGACAAGCAGAGCTGGTAGAGATTACTAGGCTGAAGATCCTTATTACTGTAGAAGATGCAAACACACTTTAGGGTGAAAATACCAATTAAAACTCAAAACAACAGACTACTATGGAACAAAGTAGTATTTTTTGAAAGGTAAACACACTACTATACAATAACCAACTTTCCAAACTAGTTTTTAAAAAAGTACAAACCCTTTTCCGCTCTTTCCTGTCCTTTTCATCTTTTTTCTCTCTTTCTCTGGATCTTTCCCTTGACTTGTCCAAATCTTTCTTGTCCATTTCTCTCTCCTTACTCTTGGACAGTGGTGGAGGAGTATGATTAATGTAGAGCTGTTAAATTAAGGCAATATTACTAAAGATTATTAGTTTTCCAGTATTGGAATCTTTTGGGGTTTTTTGTTTGTTTGTTTGTTTATTAAATGAAAGACAAGTGGCAGTTAGACACAAAGTTAAAACTGGTCAGCTGTCTGTATTACAAGAGATAAAATAAAAGAGCATCACACAAATACAAAGGTTTTCATGTCTTGTCCTTATAAAAACAGCTACTTAAACTCAATCAGTTCATTATTGCCTTGACTGAGACTCCTTATTTAGTAAATTCACTAGCCAGAGTCCTCATCATCAATCTGTTGTAAAGACCTATAACCACAAATATTAGAGTCCATATGTGGAAAACAATGATTGGACTTTCTCTGTTGCATAAAAAAATACAAACCTCTGCACAATCATGGAAATTTTAAATTCTTACCATCCATGAATAGGCAGTCAATGATGACTGTGAGCAAAAGTATAAAAAAAAACAGAGGTATGACTTTACTAGCAAGTCCTTTCTGCCTCAGTATAAACCATGTAGCAACTGTCCAAAATTATTTTTTATAAATGTAAATAAAAACTGCTGCATATTCTCTACTTCTCAAATAACCACAACTGAGTATGAAATTTGTCTAATTGGTTCTAATCAGCTCAAAAAGCCATCGTGTGATTACATTACTAAAATACTAGAAAGTAGTGAACAAATATTCTCCTCTGCTTGTTCTTTCTCTGCCAAAAGACAGAGGGGCAAGATAACAACCACACATCAAGGATATTCTAACTCTAAGTAACTGAGAGATAACCCTACTTATACAAGTTACAAATATGGAAATCCACTTTAAAATAAATATTTAAGCAACAGTCAGGAAATAGCCCAAAACCTAATCTTAGGGTATTATAACCATCCTACAAGTTTATGTTTAATTTAATACATTCAAATATTAGGCAACAGAATACCAAATACAACTCCATTACATAACTGCACAATTCCAGATGTACCTTAGAAATTAACAGAATATTGAGACAAAAGTCAAATATTTTTACATGAAGGAATTCTTTGGTATTCAAAGGAATACAAGAAAAAGGAAGACATCAGTATGAGAATTAAACACATTTTTTTTACACCAAACAATTGCAATTCAGTTGGCTGAGAAATATTGCCATAGCAATGAAGAAGTATATTTTTTAAAATTTCAAAGTTTAAAAGTTGATGATCAACTGAAATATACAAAATGCTTATTAATAACAAAGAGCAAGAGAATGATAAACAGTCATAAAAGTACTTGCCTAAAAGATACTCTTGCTGGATATGACTTAACACTTCAGGATTTTTCTAATTGTGAGGATTATTCACACCTTAGGTTAATATTATTTATTAAATGATAAAATAAAGGAAATAATTATTACTGCAATACTCAAAAAGATTTTTCTAAAAGAAGTATTGCTTATTTCTCCCCAAGAAAAGAGGGGTGTGTGTGTGTGTGTGTGTGTGTGTGTGTGTGTGTGTGTGTGTGTGTGTATACGGCTCCCTAACTCTGAATCTTTCCAGTAGTTCTCTTTACTAAAATGGTTACTCACTTTTAATTTCTTAAAATCCTACTTAGCCTTCAGACACAGCTCAATAGCCATCAGCACTGCAACCATCCCTCAACTCTGCAACTCATTTTCCAATGAACTCATTTTATTGATTGATTGACTATGACAGGTGTTCCCTATTAATTTCATGTCATTTGTTTTTATCATAATAGTTTTTGGTATGCTATCAGAGCTAGGGTGTCTTTTCTACTTTTATATACTTCCTAGTGCTAACTACACACAATGAGTGCTCAATACATTGGCCAAATAAAATTAATAAAAGAGAGATTCCCAGAGGCAAAACATACCTAAAAGCAGGGAAACAATTTTATATGCACAAGTGACATGATAACACAAAACACATATCCTCCAAACTGTCTAGAAAATGAAAGCTATCCCAGAAACGGTGAGGTTATGCATAATCAATTTTAGAGATCACTCAAGTCCAGGAAAAAATTGTATTCTAACACATTCATATGCTATTAAACTTTCTATACACATAAAAATTCAACATCAGCTACTACACATAACAGTACTTTGGATGTTTCAGCAAAGTCCAAAGGCTTAAGAGTTCATTTCAAATATGTATTGAATACCTAATTTATTGCTGAGCATCATGCTAAACACTAAAGATCTGAAAAGTGGTATGAGTCACATAATTTTAGAAGCATATTTATATGCCATTTTCAAATTTTTCTGGTTGTACGCAGAATAAGTAATTGAATATTAAGTGCCCACAAAGTTGTTATTAAAAAAAAAAAAGTGGGGAAACCGACTTGAATCACTATAATTTAAAAAATAAAAACACACTAAAGGAGCTGGGTTCCCTTTCGACTGCTGTTGAAATGGGTGCTAAGAATAGAGGAACCTTGATTTTAGTTCCCATTTTGATACTAACTAGCTGTATGCCACTGGGAAGTCTCAAGAACTTTTTTCAGCCTCTCATTTGTCAAAACGACAGTACCATCTGCCCTATTTAGCCTCACAGCACTGTTATGAGAATGAAATGAGACAAATACATGTCATCTCACATTTTATTTTCAAAAGTGTTTTACGTATGTGAGAAACCGTAATTTTCTTCATTGTTTAGAAAATTCAGTTAATTTTTAAACAGCAGATCTCAAACTGCTTCATAGTACATTTCAGTAAATAAATACAAGACTGTTAACCCATGAATTTAAAATAGCCCACACAAGCCACTGATGGTTAAGACTGGCACATACAATCCCAAACTGGTTATGAAGACCTACTATATTGCATTACATATTTAACTTAGCCAAAAAAATGGTTTTACTTTGTTGTTAAAGGTACTCATGGTAAAAGCTGATACTATTTTGATCAATATAGTATATTCTAAAAACAATGCCACATTCTTAGAGCACAAGCACATTAGCTAATCTACACTGTTAAAAAGTAGTGCTTATTTGCCCAGAATCCACAGACATTTCATTATAAAGCTATAGGTCTAAAAGCAGTTAGTAGTCATGTCAAGTGACTTTCAAAGTTCCATTTGGTCCATCAGTAAGGAATCATAATAAGCAAATAAAATAGGCAGTAAAATAGAAAAAGTAAAGGAGGGTATGAATTTATAATAAAAACAAAATGGCATGAACAATAAGCAATTCAACTATGATACTGAAAATAACTCCATAATTGTCATGATACACAAACTGTACACTATTTTTAGTAGCAGAATACCCAGAAAAGTAGAATAATAAAAATACTGACACATAAACACAAACACCAATTTGAGTATTCCCATCCAGGGGAATTATTATTTTATATTAACTGTATTTCATGATATTATGCTACAACTGCCAAAAAGATATCTCAGGAAAGGAAATATTTAAAAAATTTACAGATTGAAATGGACTCAGCTTTTTAAAAAGTTATGTGAATCCATCGAATTACCTTTTTGGTCTTCTGAGCTGTCTTTAAAAAACAGTCCAAAATAGTCTGTCAGATTCAAGAAATTAAATAACCCTATGCCGCCCCCCCCCAAAAAACAGAAATTCTCCCCTCCAAAACCTTAAACTTATTTAAAATTTTGAAGCATAAAAGAATGCATAACACAGCAAGCAAGGATAGATTATAGAAATGTTGCCACATTACACATATTTAATAACAATCTCTCTAAAGGGACCATTGTCATCTGTTCTTTTAGTTTGTGATAAGAAATTCTAAATAAACAGGGTACTTTTTCCCACTGATCCTGGCTTAATAATTTACTAGTGTGAGAGTATCTACTGAAAAAAAAAAGAAGTAAAGAACTTTTTGGTTTACTTAGGCATGATGATTTTAAAAGACTCAAACCTTTGCGGAAGACTCCTTGAGTTCGATGAGACTGTCCTGTAGAAAATGAATGGAGATGACAGGTGAGCTGGCATAGTTCTCAGAACCCAGAGGAACTTTGGGAAGTATGGCTGTAACCTGGAAATAAATCAGCTACCTCTTGTGAAGATAAATTCCATGATATCATTATCAATATGAATATCAACAATAAAAAAACTATGTAATGGAATTATGTAAAAAAACTAAATTATATGCACTCGATGTAAGAAATAAAAAAATTTCATTCTTTCTGCTCAAATTTGTAAATGTCAATGCCACTTTTTTTTAAATATCTCTGCACTTATGCTTTAAGTAATTTAAGAGACTTAAGAAAGCAAAACATTTTTTTCTCCACAAAATATTTAAAATAGTGGAGGTCACTGTGGAAGAACATTAACTTATATTTTCATAGTCTTTCTTTCATTGGAAGATTTCAAACTTTACTTCACTTAAAACTCTTATACATATTTTTTAATCCTAGCTGAAAAATTTAGTGGCATTATATTACAATAAAACAAAATATATTCAACAAAAGAGTAGAGCACTGTTTTTGCAAAGCATCTATGATTGGTGAATCTCATAACTCCCACAAGAAAAAAAAAAGAGTATTTAAAAAAAAAAGAAAGGAAGAAAGAAAAAGAAATCAATTACGGTATTCCACCACAGTGCTCTTGATGAAGAATTAATAACTTACAGTTTTAAAAGTTCAACGTACTGCAAATTCAAAGATTCCATGAAATTAGATGACTTTAGTATTAAAATTAAATATGGAGCAAGGAATGGCTACCCTGAGTCTTCAAGAAGGCTACACCCACGATTTTGTGCTGCAGTTGAATGCCTGGGGTTTCTCTTTGCTGGGTGGTAGGATTGGATGCCACATCTGCTCTTATCGTAACGCAAGGTTCAACTTGTTGGGAACCCAATGGGTATAAACAAACCTCCAAGGGAAGATACAACAGAAGCTGCATGCTCACTGAATATACACAACTACAGGAGAACTGATCACCAAGGAGACTTTAAAATGGAACTCCTTTCAAGACTCCTTCTTAGAAGGCACATCGGTATGATGCTCATCAAGAAGCTTGATGAATTCAGAGGTATCTTGTTTATCCTGTATCATCCAGGAAGTCTTCAGTGCTATATATTCTTCAATATTTATGCTGAAAAATAGGCTTCTTTCTGCTGAAAAGATTCATTTGCTTGTAGCTACCATTGCACTCCAAAAAAGCCTGCTTAAAGCAGTGAGGCACTTCTGGGTAAAATTTCTCTTGCACTTTGAAACACTACAAAATTAGTGCTAGGTCCTTGAAGTTTTAACATTTTTATAATAAAAATACTCAATAGGAAAAAATATCAGTCCACCAATACAGAAAAAATTCATTTTCTAATGCAATATAAAACCTCCAGTGGCTCCAGTGAATACTTGGCACAAGACTTGAAGGAAGTCAGGACACTGGTATTCCAAACAGGTGAGCCTAACATGGACGCTGCCTTCCTCAGGCTATACTAACCTTTACTGTGGAGGAATGTGACGGAGAAGGGTGGGTATCAATTTTGCGGCGTTTTTGTTCTGTTAGGACAAAAAGAAATGGTCAGAATAGAGTGTATTTCTAGTTTTCCAAACACTTAAAAGAAAAGGAACAACTTTTAAGATCATCATGAGTTCATCTTCCTAGCAAAATCTCTACATAACTTACCAAAACAAGGAGACAAACAAATGCACATTAAAATAACAAAAAGGTAAACAAATATAAAGAAAGGCACACTTGCCCCTTTCAGGCTCTGCAATATCTGATCGGGGAACAGGTGACTTCAAGGACCCAGAAACTGTTGTTTTTTCTCCTCCTTTAACATTTTCCTTTGATTTCATTTCCTTTGCTATATCTCTTTCTCTGGATGGCTCCTTCTCTCTTTCCCTTTCTTGAGTTGATTTTGATTCTACGATGGGAACAGTCGTCTTGAATTTCTCATCTTTAGTTTTTTCTTCCTTCTTGAATTTTTCTTTTTCTTTGTCAGACTTAGGCGTTCTTTCCTTGGTCTCTCTTGCTTTTTCATCTTTATTTGGCCGCTCTTCCTTTGGTTTTTCTTTACCATCTTTACCAAGTACCCTGGCCTCTGGAGTAGTAGCTGGAGTCTTTTCTTTTTTCTCTTTTTCTTTGTCTTTCCCTTTTTCTTTGTCATTTTCTTTAACAGCTTTGCTGCTTAAGAATAAAAGCGGATTTTAGGATAAATACTCATAAAATATATTCCATGTTTAAAATCATAATAGGGTTTCTTACTGACTTCAAAAATCCTAGAACTAAGAGGAATCCTTTGAAAAGTAAAGGACAACTTAAGTAAAAAGGAAAATATTTCTTTATCCAGTAAATAATAAGCAAATTCATGAAAGCAAATTAAAAGAACATCAGGTTCTTTCTATAGACATTCATAATCTTTGAGACTAACAAAGTAAAATCCAAAAATATATTCCACAAATCAACCAAGGGTGCTAGCATCAGGGGATGAATTATTGAGCTGGATGGATTTACTACTCTAAATTAGTGTAGGCTTTTCCTAGGTTAACTAGACTTACTCAGATTGCCCAAAGCAATCACTCTATCCTAAATTTTTTTCTAACTTCACCACCTACATCTCCTTGAATATCCCAACATGGGAAACAAAACTGCTAAACCATAATTTAGATGGTGAGCACACATCATCAAAATAGAGGTATATACAAAATTTCAAAGTCCAACTTAAATGACTTTCATACTGCTCAACTACTACCCTCCTTCAATTTATGCTTAATGAGGCCAATTAAAGGAAATTTAGAATTGTGACATATGGCACTATGTTCCTACCTGTTTGAGCCACTATTTCCATTGCTTGAATTCCCTTTTGGTGTGGCACTAGAAGCTTTATTAACAGCTTTCACACCACACTGAGATCTCTCCCTTGATTTATCTGAAATAAAAATAAGGTTTTCTTTAACAAGCCCCTAAATGTAAATAAACAATTTCACAGCCAAATGATTAGAGGATAATTAGAATCAGCAGAATGATTACTTTTTGACAGTTACATATTCTCACCTAAGGAATAAAATTATAATATTAGGCTAGTACCATACTTGTCACATGATATAAAACATTCCAATATGATAAAACAAAAACTATTATTTATAAGTTTCTACAAGTAAGCATACCAGTCTCCTCAGTACTGCTTTCATCTGATTTAGATGCACTTCCTATCGATGATGAAGAAGGCCCACCACCAGGCCCATTTTGTACACTGGCCACAGCATTCCTCGGAGGGGGGTCTTTGTGATGAAACTCATTTTCAGGTATCATGTATGACTTTTTACTTTTCAACTGCCCAGAGTAGCTGAAAGTCGCACAAAGTGTTTAAATATACAAATACAAATCAAAAAGCACAAACATGGGGTTTAAAAGAATAAAATTAGCAAATTATTTGTTCAACTACTTGGTTCTAGAGAATGAAAAATATTAATTTTCAGTAATTTCTTAAAGGTGCTTTTAGAGAGTCCTAAATACTTTCTTAAAAATAACTTCAAAATAAACTAATCCTTAAACTGACTTTTTTTTTGCTCTTGAAGATCTGATAAATTCACTATGGTGTTAATATTACATTTCCTCCCATTTGAGACGTAGTATATATGACTTGTGACACTATCATCCAGTATAGACCGGAAGTTGATAATCAGAAGTGACAACTCTCACCAGCCTGTGGGAACATGAGCGCATAATCTCCCATAATCTCCTGAAGTAAGGCAGAAGATAAACTTCAACACTGTAAAACATTTTAAAGTCTTCAGAATCCTTCTGTCAGCTAGTCTCATAAATTACATTAAAGTATAATTTTGTTACCCCATAGCCAATGCATATAGATCTGGCCTCTTCTCTTTTTCTTCTTGGCAGATTTTATGCACTCTTCTTTCCAAAGCCTGACCCAGATTCAAAACTTTTGGATACCAAGGAAGTATTTTTGTTAGCACAATCAAGATATTCCTGATGTGAGTATATTCGCCCGTTTCAAGGCAATGTACCGATGCCTACAACAAACATTTTAAGATCCATTATTATTATTAAAGTACAAATACGAAGAGAAAATACTTTTTAAAAACCCATTTTTTTTTACCTTGGTTAGTTTGTAATGCCATTTATGTACAACATGCCGAAAATTTTCATAATCTAATTGATCAGCTTTATTCCCACCATCAAATCCAGTTGCCCGTAATATGGTAAGGAATCCTGGGTAGTTTCCACATTCCTAAGGAAAAACAGTTTGTCACCTTTAAAGTTACATCTGACAAAACAAAAGCTGAAACTTAAGTAGACTAGCTGAAACTCAAGTAGACTAGATCAATGATTCCACATAAAAACAGTATGAATATTTGGATAGGTAGTTTTCACAGAAAGGTTTGGATTATTGCATGATCCCAATTTGAAATGCCAGTTTAAAATAGAATAAAAAGGTATGCTATTCTTTACAACTGGATCTTAAACTCAGCTTCCCTCTGAAAATTGAACAATCTAAAGATTACTGCAAGTGGTCATTCTATACATGAGTAAAACATAAGGTATTTATCATACCTTTTCATATGTGGCTCTATCACTATGCCACCTGGTCACAGTCTCTAACATGCAGCAAAGAAATCTCCCATATCGACTAGCTTCATTTTCAGTACAGCTTGCAACTGTGTAAATGATGTCAGAGAAAACCTACAGGGAAAAGTAGTTAAGAAAAAAAAAAGCCAAGGTCAAACCAGTTTAATTATTAGAACATTGTATTATAGCAAGTCATACCAGGTAAATTCAGTCAAAATGTATTTCCCCTTTTATATTCATACTTGCAGAGACTTTTGGAGAGTCTGGCTATTGAGAGATAATAGCACATTCATAAAGCAACAACAAGAAAAGAACTTTTATAAAGAAAGCTGATTTATGACAGAAAAAAAACTATCATCATTATCACATAATAACTTCTTAAAGACAGATATAAATATGACTAGGACTGGGGGACAATAAGCAGAAGCAAGACTGAAACTAAAATAGGCAGCTGACATGCTAAAATGTACATGACATTTCTAAACCACAAAATATAAGAAAAAAAGCCAGATGCAAAAATCTGTGAATATGACCACACTAAAAAGCTTCCCTGATTTTTATGTAGGAAAGAAGATGTAAAATTTTTTATTCTGTTTTGTGTTTTTTTTTTTTTGAGAAATGAAGAATGGAGAAGAATCCTGTCTATGATGATAAGACATAAATTCAAATGATTTAATAGCTTAATCTTGAATGCTGTTACATACAGTTATTACTCAAAGTGCTTTTTACGTGTAGTGACTCATTTAATCATCACAACAATCTCATGAAGCAAGTGCTTTTGTCCCATCTTACAGATAAGAAAACTGAGGCACAGAGAAGTTAAATAACTTGTCAAAGATCAGACTGCAAGAAAGTAGTAGAGCTAGGATTCAAGTTCAGGCACTTGGCTCTTGAGTTCATGCTTTTAACCAAACACACAATACCTCTATAATGTTTTAGCTATCTTTGTGTGAGACTTTTTAAAGTTGCAATAAAAAGAACTTACTCGATCATAGCAAAGAAGTGTGGAAAAATTTGGAGTTTTCTGTTGATGTACCAATTCAACAAAACGAGCACAGTAAACAGCATCAATTGCTGAAAAAATACATCGAGGAAATATACACAGCTGTAGAAATTTTGTGATGGTCTCATTTTTGGTAGATTCTAAAAATAAGGGAAGAATATATTAAGTGGTAAATTTCTTCCTCAAGTGCCTCAAGGCCACTAAATATGACAACATATTAACTTTAGTGTAGAGAATGCTATAAAACCACAAGCTATTTATAGTTTGTAACCAAAAGGTCATGCCTGGGATAAGACTATCATTTTTATTCAATGTGTACATATTCTATCTACAATTTTCCCAGAAATATGATTTTTATACAGAAAAGTTGAATGATAAGCTGCTAATATTATAGTTATGAGTTAATTAATTTCACTTCAAACTAAATCAGTTCCTTCGGTGGAAATGTGAAGTTGATTCTGCATTAATGAGTAACCAAAGAATGGGATAGTGAACACTGAGTTGAAATACAAACAATACACTTCAACATCTCCAAAGTTATAAAGGTTTGTTTTTTGTAATTTAGCAGTAGCAGGGATATGTAATATTTCCAACAACTTACTTGCTAAAAGCCAGTTGTCCTTTTCCAATTTCAGTCTCTGTAGAACTCTCTGTACATGTTCCATCTGTTTCTTTTCTTCTTCAAGAAGTTTGTCCTGAAGAGCAGTACAACGCTCCTTCTCTTTTTTCTTTTTATTTGGAGGCTACAAAGTAGAAGTTAAATACTTTCTAATTATATGCACATTACCCTCCCTTTTTAATTAAAAAATTTAACAGCTAAATGTTGGCACTTTGTAATAACTTCAATACAGATGTACAGTAGATCCACTTGGATGTGTTACTTTCATCTCCATTTCATCACATCCAGAACAGTGTCAGAGTCTTAGCACACCAGGCCCCTTCCTTAACACTGATAAATTCCATCTGGGGCATGCATGGAGTTATCTTTGACTCTTCCTTCTTTATTAATATATCCCAATTATCTGCAGTATCCCACTATCTTGACCATGGTCAGTGGTCTATATCTCATAATGAATTACCCAGAAAAGTCACCTAGGGTCTCTAGCCTAATGCTTGCTCCTTTCCTTATCAAAAGTACCCGTAATACTGCTGTCATTACCTTTTTAAAGTACCATTTTTAATGATTATTACTTCCCTGCTTAGCTAAAGCAGCTCTCAATTTCATCTATTTTTATTTTTATTTTTTATTTTTGGTGGTGCTGGGGATTGAACTCAGGGCCCTGTGCATGTGAGGCAAGCACTCTATCATCTAAGCTATATCCCCAGCCCCCTCAATTTCATCTATTTTTCTATCTTTCAATGCCTTATATAATCTGGCACCATCCTTACTATATAAATTCATCACTATGCTATTTCTTCCTTTACTCGAACACTATAGAGTGGTGTCCCTTTTACCTCCATATTTCCAAGGCCTGCCTGACTCTAGACTCAGCTCTTCAAGAAAGTCTTCTCTAAAGAGTTCCCCTTCTGGAAAGTCCTACTGTTCTTGCAATTGGAGTCACATAGGTCACTTTCAGTTACCAGCACAGCCTTCAGAAGAAAAGCAAACTCAACTGCGTTTTTTTCTTAGATACTTTTCTAGTTGTCAAAGGACCTTTTTAAATATATATATATATATATTGCTGAGAATCGATCCCAGTGCCCCCCACATGCCAGGCAAGCGCTCTTCGACTAAGCGACAACCCAGCCTCCTCAACTGCTTTTTGATTAATCATAATTTCCATCCATTCACCAAGCCTCTGCCCCACCAATTAAGAGGTTACCATTAAACCCACTCAAGAAAATATTATCCAGCAACAAGAGCTTCAAGAATCCCGAGTTAAAACAAAATATGGAGTAACACTGAATTAATTACCAAAAAGTTATTGCACTTGAGTTGCTAGAACAAAAACATACCATTTCCTGATTGTCATCAATTGCTTTCATCTGGACTTTTAGCTTATTGACTTCTCGTTCATAGCTGGTATGTGGAACAGCAAGGTCATACATTGTCAATGACCAGAATGTGGCATAGAATTGTGGGCTGATGTCATCCCAGACTTTGGAAACATGTAAGGAGACCACTGCTTCATGGACAGGAGCCATCACCATCTCACATGACGTAATGTACTTATGAACTTTATGCTGCTGTTTACTTCCCTTTTCTGATTTTTTAAGTTCATCATATTTTGACTGGAGATAAAAAGTAAAAAAAAAATTAATACACACACAACACAATTTACAGCTTTGACTTTCATGATATAAAAACTTGTATTCCCTTTGAAAGAATCAAGATGACCATCTTAAAACTGTTGTGGAAATTCTAGTTCCTGAACATTAACACTTTAAGATAAATCATCCCTGGAAGCTGTTCCAATCTTTAGTCTCATGTTCTGCAGTTTTTCAGGAGATTTAATAAAAGCTGATCTTCTGAGTGGCTGAACAAGATATATGTACCCCCAACCATTCTCCTCACCCTACTCCATCTTACTGCTCTATCAGGGATGGAACATGCAGGACTCCTTACAGTCCATGAACATGCAGGGCTTCCAGTCCTCCTTTTGAGATGTTTGACAGAACCAAGGAGGGTTGTAACATTAGTGAAGAAGTACAATGGAACTAGTAACAGCCAACCAAAGATGTAACGTAGTATCAATGCACACAGTTTCCACCAACTGTTACAATTTGTCAATTAATAAGCCAGATCGACTCTAGGAAAAGTTGAGAAAATTTCTTTAAGACTGCTAAAGTAGGGTGACCATCTATCCTGGTTTGCCAGGGATCTAAAGGTTTATCCAGATGCAAGACTTTAGTGCTAAAACTGGGAAAGTTCAAGGCAAACCGGGACCAGCTGGTTACTCTACTGCTAAGCCAAATAAATTTTTCTATAATTAGCTGTGGTATATTGAAGTTTAAAGCATGTGATAACTAATGTTATTGCTTCTTTGGCCTGACTAATGTATGCTAACTTGGAAGAAAGTCAGAGGAAGGGCCATCCTCTTAGCTATATGAGAAAAAAATCTGTTAGTATAAGATGGACTGTATATTAGTCCATAGAGGAAATGTAAAAAAGAAAAGTAATACAGAGTAGAGTTGTTATTATCTCATGTCCATCAGTCTCTTTAGGATAAAAGAGCTCTCACCAGGAAAATTACATTTGGATTAGGCATCATTCTTAAAGTGTTAAGAAAGAACTTAAGTCTTTCAGTTTGTGCTAAACATGTAACCCAAAAATGGATGGTCAGAGGTCAAAGGTTCTATACCAGTTCTGTACTAACAGGCAAGAGGCTCAACTCCTTACAGTCCAGATGCCTTACTTCCTAAGTGCCTTGGATGCTGCTCTACCCCTAGGTTCAATGAACTAAAAGCATATCAAGTCCTTAGTACTGTTCTAGAAGTTGGAAGACTTATCTCCTGTTATCTCCATGTTAGAGAACATGCTGACAGTGAGAATATACAAGTGACAAAGCTACAAAGAAAACTAGTTATGAGTGTAAGTCTCAATTACATCAGAGACCTATGAGAATAGCAACCGGGGAACACGGGGTTTTTAAATTTATAAAGTAGATCTTATTGAAGGTAACTAATATGAATCTAGGTGAGCAGAATGACATCTGCTAAGGTCTAACAAAACACAGGATAAAACAGTGCTGAAACTACATGCATTAGATAACATAGCTAACTAATTTGAGAAAGACTAAGAACATGCACGGGGGCAAAGCTTTTCCTTCAAACCTGTGTCTCAAGATGTTTCAACAATTAAAAGTAAAAAGTATGCTACAGGTATAAGAGGGCTATTTGATAACTCCAGTCTCCCCAGTCCTCTGTTTCTGAACCTGTGACTTCTATGGCTAGGCCTCTTCCTAATCCCTATCTAGTTAGAAAAATAAGCTCGATCAGAAAAGTCAGTGGTATTTCATATTTACCTAGGATGACTATTTCTTGGTCTAGTTAAACTAACTAGCACTTGAAGCTCATATCTTCAGTAGAAAGAAGAATCAAACAGTTTTTTATATCACAAGTCACCTGGGAAACAAGATGTATGGAACAGAACTGGTAACAAATCATTATACTGTACTTCTGACTACTGTTCAAAAAGTTCTTTTCTTATTGGCCTAAAAATCTGAGCAGTGTTTGGTTGAATTATTCCCGAGAGAGACTTGTAATCACCAATTTATGGAAGGAACCCAACAGTCCTCTAATATTCATGTGCTTTCCTTCTTTCATGAAAGGTCCTTCAAAAGAAGGAGTTCACCTAAAATACAAAAGTAAGGATCCCCAGGGCAGTATGGATGACCACTCAGTGCAACCTATGTTTCAGAGAGGGGCATGAAAAAGAAGTTCTCTCTGCATGGACTATATAACCAACTTCATATACTCTTGTTTTTTTCCTTAGCCCTGAGAAGGAAATTCCACTTCTTTGATTTTCTCTCTTAAAAAACACAGAAACAATATTTTACATGGGCCAGTAAATAGGTAGTTACTGGTATGAATGACCTGCTCCATTTTCTGACCAGGAAAAATTCAGACAACCAGGTATTCCTGTTTGCCAAGGTTCATTATCACCAATTAGTGTGTTCACTTCTCAGTACAGGATAGGACAAGTTAGAATTTCTGAGATTAAGCAATTCTCCCATCTCAGATCTTCAAGAAATCAGATCCCTTGTTTCTATAGCTGAGACACATCTACTGTGAGGTAGAGCAACAATTTAAGACATAACTACAGAAAGACAGCATATAATTCTTCAGATTGAGAGATTCTAAAGGGGAAGAAGAGGCCTAACCCTACTCCCTGATCCTAGTTTTCTCACTAGAGTGTATAGGACAGAAAGCATTGCATGATGCTAATAAAGTGGTAATTCAATCCAGGAACATTTAGTTAGTTATTAGAGGGAAGCGAAAAACTGCAGCAGTTGATACATAAACACTAACAGTGAATGGTCAATTACACGATCAGTTGAACCTCACATTTCTCAGCACCTTTTTTTCATACCTCTACTACACAGCTCTGTGTCCCTACTGGGAAAAAAAAAAAAAAGAAGGAATCTTAGTTTAAGAGAAAGGAACAAGATCTTCCCCAAAATCTTAACTGAAATTTCTATATAGTATAGATTTTAAAACAACAAAAAACAAAAAGGCCAAAATCCATGTCTACAGAAAAAATGAAGGATATGCTGGGGGTTCCATAAATTGACAAGGCCCTGAGGGGGGAAAAGTAGGTTCCCATTAGAGGTCATACTTTGCAGGTGACAGTTGAGGAAGGGCTATCTACTCTGCCCCATATCTTCACTGGAATTCCAATATAGTCACTACTGGGATGCCATGCTTGGGAAGTTTTCAGCTTATTTTTTTGGTGTGTGTTGTGGGGTGTTGCCAGGGATTAAAAACTCAGCGGCACTCAACCCCTGAGCCACATCCCCAGCCCTATTACGTATTTTATTTAGAGTCAGGGTCTGACTTGCTTACAGCCTCACTTTTGCTGAGGCTGGCTCTGAACTTGAGATCCTCCTGTCTCAGCCCCCACACCACTGGGATTACAGGCCTGTACCACCATGCTGGGCGGGCTTTGGCTTATTTTGAGGTAGTTTTTTTTAATGGTTTCATTTAAATGGAGAGAAGAAAATAACCATAAATACACCTTTCCTAGAAGCTAAACAAAAGAAAAGGCAATAATTTTTAGGCATTGGTTGTTAATTCTTCTTCCTTTCTAAGCATTATGGGTAATAGTCATCTGACAGGAATATTCTGAAAAAAAAAAAAACACGTTTCTCTGTAGCCATTAGGAATGTTACTCAAGAGACATACTCATATTCACAAGCATCATAAACACACAGAGACACACACACAATAACAACCAAAACCAAAAAAAAAAAATCACACACACACAACACACTCACAAATTTCCAAGCACTTTTTAATTTACTGAATTAGAATTTGGGGCCTGAGGATGCTGAGTTTTTAAGATGCTTCTCTGGTAATTCTCATCTGGGCTTGAAAACTAGTTTGCAAGTGTCCATAAGACATCAATCAGGACAACTGTTGGAGCAGTAACAATAAAATGACTTTTGCGGGGGAGGGAGGTTACTGGGGATTGAACAAAGGGGTGCTTTTCCACTGAGCTGCATTCCAAGTCTTTTTTATTTTTATTTTTTATTTTTTTTTGTACTTTGAGACAAGGTCTCATGAAATTGCTAAGGCTGGCCTTGAATTTGCAATCCTACTGCCTCAGCCTCCTGAGTCACTGGTATTACAGGCATGCACCACTACACCCAACAGATTCATTGTTAAAGGATGTATTTTCACTTATATAAATAGAGGAAGGAGAATGGGAGAGGAGAGGGAGGGCGGAAAGGAAAATGGGGAGATCATGAACTGAAATCAAATTCCAAGCATGAATGATTTTGTCAGGACGAATCTGACTACTATATATAACTAAAATGTGCTAATAAAAATAAGCTATTAAAAAAGGATACACTTGTATTGTACACCATTTAGAAATAAATATTAACAAAAGATAATAACTCTAAAGAGACCTAATCTATATTAAACTAAAATACATTTAAAACTCAAACACTTAAGAAAGAATTTTGAATCATTCTTGAATGGTAACAAAGATACCTGTACTTACCGAAATATGATGCGCATACATTGGCCTAGACAGAAAAAATGCTGCATCATGGGGTGTATGGAATTCATTACAGAGCACATCAATTGAAGGCACTCGCTTTATATAATCTTCTGTGCTTAGATTTGATGCTAAAAACCCACCAAATTGTACCAGGGTATCATGACACTAAATTTTTAAAATGAGACAAAAAACACAGAATGTTACATTCTATAAAACCATCATAAACATTTTAAAAAATGATTAAGATATGTCATTTTAATAACATTTTGATCAACAATTAAGAATCCAAATTTTAATTGTGGGAACATGGTTGGAACTAAAGGACATTGTGTTAAATGGCATAAGCCAGGCACAGAAAGACAATCACCACATGTTCCCACTCATATGTAGAAGCTAAAAAAAGTTGATTTCATAGAAGCAGCAAGCAGAAGAGTGGTCACTAAAGACAAAGAAGGATGAGGTCAGAGGAGGAGTGATATGTTAAGGCTGAATCACAGGTACCAAACTATAGTTACATAGAATGAATAAGATCTAGTGTTGAGTAGTACACAATAGGCAAATTATAGCTTACAACAATATATTTTACAAAGAACTAGAAAAGGGGAGTTACAAGGTTTCCAACACAAAGCAATGATAAATGTTTAAGGAGATGGAAACGCTAATTGCTAATTTAGTCATTACACACTGTATATAGCTGATTATCACACTACACCCCATAAATACATAATTCTTATATGTCAATTAAATATTTTAAAAACTTAAATCTGATGCTTTCACATATATATTGGCCAAATAAATATTTTACTATTGTCAAAAAACTACAAATTTTACATCTAAAGACTACCTACAAACACAATCACAAAATCATATTACAAAGAAGATGCCAATACCCTAATAGGTTGATTAATCTAAGGCTTTAATAGTCAATTAAGTCTCTTAAGTTCCAAGCTATTATTTGGCATTTTAAATAGAATATATTTACCTAAAATTACATAATAATATGCACAGGCAAATCAAATCCAATTCCTTTGCTATTAAAAGATGAAAACTTTATAGTATACATAAATATTAAGCACTAAAACCTACAATTAGCACACTAAATGTGTTTAACAATCAGCAACCATATTACAAAGAAAAAATGAGATGGCATCTACTATGCTGTGATTGAATTCCAGATTTCCAGAGATAAATAAAGATAGGAAAAGAAACAACTTGAAACTACAGGAATTTAATAATAGGATATTTAACTAAAAACATTATACATATTATAACATCTCCTACAGCCATCTCTTAAATACCAAAAATGGTACAGAAATAGAGGCCCTAATTTCAGAATGCCCATTTGAACATTACCACTCTTTCCCACTCACATGACGTGCAAAATTGAAATTTTCCAAATTATGTCATGTTCTCTATTTCCCTTTATCAGGATTTAAAAATCTACATCAATACAAAAGTCACTTTAACTTACCTGGTCATAGAGCTTTCCCACAAGTTTCAAATGTTTCTCTCCGCCTTCCTGGAAGATTACCCCATTCCTCTGCTGAGCCATAAGCAAACAGAGAGGAAGAGCAAGATCATGGTCCAATAATGCATCCTTTAATCTCTGAGAGGATTTTTTAGTGTTTCTAATCTGGCCAAAATAACCACCCTGCGTAAGAGAAAATAAATTTACTGGCATACAATGCACATAGCCCATACCCTCTGACTTGATAAAGACAAAGAAGAAAGCTAAGTCATAATTTTGAAAATAAAACATTCCTACATTTGATATTCCTTCCTTTTTTCACAAATTTATTCTAATGACACCGTTATCGATCACACTGAATTAAAGATAACTGTTAATTGTATTTAAACTTCTGCATATTTTCCATTTCTTCACTTTGCAGTCCCTTGTCAATTTTTATTCAATGTGGAAAAGGTTCAATAGAGTTACTATGCATATCACTGAGGATATCACTGAGCACTGAAGATCTAGAACTTCTTTTTAGTACACATATAATACTGTCTTTTATATTGTTTTTTAAAAAATATTACTATAATTAATATATCTCAATTTTTTAAAAGGGAGGTAGTATGGTTGCTGAAAGGGGACACATATGGCTTTGACACTGGCTTTATATACTTATGTATTGTTTGAATTTGGGGGGCTTCATACCTGGGATCAAACTCAGAGACAGGGTTGCTTAGGGCCTCATTAAATGGCTGAGCTGGCTTTGAACTCACAATCCTCCTGCCTCAGCCTCCTGAGCTGCTGGAGTTATGGTTGTATACCATCACACCTGAAACATTCCTTTTTTTTTTTTTTTTTTAGTACAGGGGATTGAACTCAGGGACACTCAACCACTGAGCCACATTCCCAACAACCCTATTTTGTATTTTACTTAGAGACACGGTCTTACTGAGTTGTTTAGTGTCTCACTTTGGCTGAGGCTAGCTCTGAATTCACAATTCTCCTGCCTCAGCCTCCTGAGCCACTGGGATTACAGATGTGCACCACTGCACGGAGCTACTGTTTAAATTTTTGACTATGACCATGAACATAGTACTGCTACCTTATAATATATATATATACCTTATATATATTCCAAAATTCATTGTATATTTTTGAAACCACAGATAGCATCAAACTATAAACATATAGCAGTTTTTTCTATACAGGCATACATATATGATAAAGTTTAATATATAAACTAGGCACTGTAAGATATTAATAGTAACTGATAAAGAATTATAAGAATATATTACAATAAAAATTATATGACATTATGTGTGGATGTTCTCTCCCTGCCTCAAAATATTTTATTGTACTGTACTTTCCTTTCTTATGATGCAATGTCTATGTGATGACATGAAGGACATAGGCATTATGATGTAGCATGAGCCTATTTAAGTGAAGTGTTACTTGAATTCAAGTACTACGGTGATCAATCTGATAATGAAGACACCTATTTATATCATCAATCTGATAACTTGAGATGGCTACTAAGTGGCTAATGGGCTGTTAGCATATACAACATATATATGCGGGACAAAGGGATGATTCACATCCCAGGTGAGAATAAGTGAAAGGCATGACTTCATCCTTCATCATGCTACTCAGAATGGAGTTCAAATTAAGACTTATAATCAATGTGTATCTGTTTTGTGTTGTAGCATTTGTTCTGGAAGCTTGTATTTACATTTTAAGTGTATCTGGTGAATGGGCTGGAGCCCTCATCTGGGCTGAAAAAAAAAAAAAAAAGAAGCCCTCCAGTCAAAATAAAAAAAAAAAGACTTATAATCATTACGTATTATATTACATATATATTATATATAATAATTATATCTGCATTTTTCTATTTCATATTTTTGAACCATGATTGACTATGGATTAATTGAAACCTTGAAATACAAAACCAAAGATTAGGTTTGATCAGTGTACATTCTAAATTTTAAGTCAGTAAACAAAATTAGCAACTCTTACCTCAGCTTTTAGCTGCTCCCCACCAGTCATGGCTTCTAGTTGCTCCATTGTCATTTCCTCTGTAATTTCTATTCCTGCCATTTTTTGTACCACTTCTTTTAATATAAGCAGGTCAAAACTATTCCAAAAGTAAAAACAAATATTCGATAGTTAAAACATCCAATATGAAAGCCACACTACACTATAATTAATATACTTAGAATGCCCCAATTATTTGTACATACACATGGAGGAGCGGTTAACACGGTTTTTAAAGAACTATTCTGAAAAAATATTTTATGCATGTTTATGTTTAATTTTTTACTTGGAAATAACTTCAAACTTACACATAGGATACAAATAATTAAGAGTATAAAGCACTCTCATACCCTATACCCCAATTTCATCTACTTTTACCACTTTTACTCCTGTTTGCTTTTATCTTTTGCATTTTTTCTCTCCTTCCCGTTCTATGCACGCACAGGATTTTTGAACAATTTGAGATGAATTATTTAAATCATGGCCTTTTATTCCCTAAAATTCCTAAGAACACATTTTTTAAAAGCAGAGCAATTCTTTTATATAACCACAGCATAGTTATCAAGTTCTGTAACTCTAATACTTAATCTATTATTCATATTTCATCTTCGTAAGTGGACCCAATTTCAAAAGAGAGTTATCGTGCAAATTAGTATACAAGTACCAATGAAATAATTTTTCTTTAAACTGTGTTTTAATCAGATGATCACAAAAATATATTCACAGTACAGAAAACTGAGTATAGATTAAAAGATGTTTGTTCTTCTAGCCTACAGACAGTAAAATGTATAGGAATAGCTGATAAATGATCTGTTGACAAAATCCTGGGTCTACACATTCTAAAATGTTTTCACAAAGTCAAAATAAGAAATCAGTCAAGAATCACTTTAATACTTCTTTAAAACATCAGATAGAAAGCAAACAAACTAAAAGCTATCAAAAAACTTTAGGAGGGGCTAGAGTTGTGGCTCAGTGGTAGGACACTTGCCTCGCATGTGCAAGGCCCTGGGTTCAATCCTCAGCACCACATAAAAATAAAGGTATTGTGTCCAAGTACAACTAAAAAAATAATTAAAAAAAAAAGCTTTAGGAAAAAATTTCAATTTCTGTGATACTAGCCAATTTACTGCTGATGATGTTTAATATATATACTAATTCACTATAAGTACTAATATTGGACCAGAATTAAATAAATTTTGGTACTTATAAAGAAGAGAACACTGTTCAAAAGTTATATAAGCCTTATGTACATCTTAAGTTCAAATTTTAAAAATAATTATACTTTAAAGATACTATACACTCCTTTAAAATAAACATGTTCCTACCAGATGCTCAATGTGGTAAATTACTGCCCAGAAGCACAATATGCTTTGTCATGAGAGGATATACAATATACCATATTAACTATTTACTCAAAAGCCTAACAGGCAGTCAAAATGGGTAAATGTATCTTTTTAGTGAGCTACATTTATAGGCAAATACTACATTTATTTCTGAAAAGGGGTGTCTCTCTTTGTATTAAATTATAATTTCTCTTCATTAAAAATTCCATATAAATAAGTGAGCAACTGTTCTACTTGAGCCTATAATCAACAAGCAGTCTTTCAGGACAGATGTCTATAATCAACAGTAGTCTTTCCAAAACCACAGATGCACTCTAATTATTTAATTTCATTTACATATGTTATGATTACCTTTTGCCTGCTTTGAGTTGATTGGCCACATACTGAAGGAGACCAGCAAGATCAATTGGATATTTACGAAAAACCGCACCACAGAAACTAGCCAGACCTATATAATTTTTTTTTTAAAAAAAGAATAAACAGTTTATAAAACAAAATGCATATTGTCATTTCTTCAACTAATTCGATTTTCAAGACAAAATGAGGTAGGAATGATTATATTGCTGATGCCACTTGTATATCTGAAAACTATAAATAAATTTTTAAAAAGTTTTTAAAGCACAGGCAACAGAATACAAATGAATAGTGATAGCTAACATTTATTGAGAGTGTGAGTGTGTGTGTGTGTAAAACAGCGTATCGAACACTTTACATAGAAAATCTCATTTAATGCTTGCAACAATTATCTTAGATTGGTATAAATGTACTGATGAGGCCAATATATGTCATGTAATTTGCTCCTGGTCACACAGTACAAAGTAGTGATTCAAACCTATGCCACCTGATTAATGAGGACACAACAAAAATCTTGCAGATCACAGAGTAAATTTAAATGATAAAATACCCCTCTCGAAAGTTTGAGTCAAAAAAAAAAATTTTTTTTTTTGTCTAGAAACATGCTACTAGTTGTGAAGCACCAAGGAAAGAGGTAAAGTATTGCAGACCAAAATGAAGACAAAAGACCAGTTTTAACAAATAGTGCAAAAGGTTCAAGCAAAGTGCAAGAAGTTCAGATTAATGGAGCCTAGAATATTGGGAAGGGTAAAAACATGAGGCTAAAACAGTAACCTGATTCCATAAGAAAAACCTGTATGACTTATTAAATATTTTAGATGTTATAGGATAATAGGGAACCAGTGCACAATTCAGATATCAGACACATCAGGTTGAAAGAAAGAGAAGTGAGAAGGAGTGTGACCAGTTCCCTGTAAGATCAACTCCTTTAAAATAACAGTAATTTAGGGGCTGGGGTTGTGGCTCAGTGGTAAAGTGCTAGTATGCATGAGGCACTGGGTTCAATCCTCAGCAACACATAAATGTAAAATGATATTATATCTACCTATAACTTAAGAATGCTTCCCCAAACTCTATCATAGTCAATAATGGTCTCAAGTTTGGAAAATCAATAAGTATTATATAGCAAAGGACTTGGACACTGTGTACACATCTGAGTGCCTTTTTATTCTTAAGAGCCCTCGACAAATATACTCTTGTATAGAAGTTCATTGAATCAGACAAAGAGTAATGAAGGGAAGTTGGGGGAATAGGAAAGATAGTAGAATGAATTGGGCATAACTTTCCTATGTTCATATATGAATACATAACCAGTATAACTACACATCATGTTCAACCAAAAGAATGAGATCAAAATTGTAATAGGTTGCACCCCATGTATGTATAGTATGTCAAGATATACCCTATTGTCATGTATATCTAAAAACCACAAATAAATAAATTTTTAAAAAGTTTTTAAGCATAGGCAACAATACAAAACAGCAGTTATCACCAACAGTAATCTCATCTTTGAAAAAATAAAATTACTTACTCTGAAGCCAGCTTGAGATGGTTGTGTCATCATGTTTCATTCTCTCCTTTTCTGGATTAGCCAAAGCTTCAATGATACAATCTTTCATACATTAAGAAAAAAATATTTAACTACATCTCGAACAAAGACCCTTACAACAAACAAAAACTGCATCTTGAGAGAAAATAAAACTGTTTGCTTCAAGTAATTACAAATTATTGACAAATATTCATTGTAATACCAACTTTTCTTCTTTAGTCTCTTTTCTACCTTTCAACAAACAAGATAGACTCCAGCTATATCAAGATGTTTGATAAACCTAATGCCTTTATATAACACAAAGGCACTCACACAAGTGTACAGACACTCATTCTCCAGCTCACAATCTTGGTGGGCCAAACTTCAGATAATCCACCTGAATTAACCTCATTTGGTTACTAAAAGAAATTAGAATGAAAATAAATCATTCACCATTAATGGGAAATCTATGTATTCCTTCACTTGAAAGGATACAGGCCAAGACATCATAATTCAGTGACGTGAGGTATTTCAATGAATCAACTACAGGTGTTATTAAATTATCATATTTCTGTATTTGTGACAAGATCTGGAAGATAGCAACAAAAAACAGATGTCATTAACTAAACAAAAGAGAACTACTATGCCAACTAAGTGATGGCTACAATTTTCCAGTACAAACAATGCTTATAATTAAAATGTTTTCCTATCATTTTACATTTATACAAAACTTATTATTCTATCAATGCCTTAGAGAATATTTTCTTAGTCTACACTTTACAACTAAGAAATAATTCCAGGGAGTCTAAACATGGATTTTGAAAAGAGAGAGGCTAGTCTCATGTTAAATGTGTTTTTGAATCAAAGAAATGAAAGTCACAGTGTTATATCTGAATCACAATGAAATGCTATTCAAATGCTTCTAAAAGCTAAAATCAACAAATAATGTTTCTAGGAATGAAAATATGGTAAACAAGATAACAGCGTATTTATATTTGTAGTGCTATTGTGTATTACTACAAAAATAAGTCAATGTATTACATTGTGTAGTAAGTTTTCTTAGTACAACCAAATGTTTCATTTGCTTAAATTTTATCCTAAAACTACCAAACAATTATAAGATTATATCTATATCAATTTCTGTATTAAAGACAACCCAAAGAAAAATTCCTTAAAATAATATTAATCTTAAAACATACATAATCAAACAAAATGGTTGGATTGCTGTGGCTCAACTTCCCAATTTGTCTTCCAGAAGGCTTCACATTTTCCTTGGTTAAACGCCTACAGGGGGAGAAAAAGGTGGCAGGGATCATCTTAAGTAACATTACCCATCATGTTGACAGCTTTGTTATATCATGGGGTTAGGGGACTGGACAATAGTTCTTTCCCAAATATCCAATATGGATCCATGTAAACAACTGCATTTATCATATACTCTATTGTAGTAGTTAGGTTAGGGTGTCTCCCAGAGGATATCAAATGTGTAACATTTATAAAATACACATTTCCATTTTATACTAATAATCTAATAAGCAGTAAAATTTTTAATGTACTCTATAAGTATATAAAATTCTTTTTATAGAATGTCATAATCATTTTTAGATTTAGAAGTGCTCATTTATAAGCTTAGAGATTAAAATATCAAATTTGGTATAATGCAATCAAATGCCTCATGCCATCTGGCTCAGTGACCCTAAAGAAGTAATAGTCAATGTTATACTCCTTGATATGAATGTTCTCTGCTTTTCTATTCAAGTTAAACAATTTTAAAAAAATTAAATTCTACTTCTTTCCTTCCTCTCTATTTCTTCTTCTGCTTGGAAGTCTTTTACCAACATTCTGTAAACTTATATCAATAAAATTTTTACAGCTCAAAACAATTATTACACCAAAACTTAAATACTTCTGATGAAAATTTTACACAATAAATTAGAAACTTGAGAGACTTTTCACAAAATGATTATATGTGAAAGGAAAGAAGTTTTTCCTTAAAAGAATTTTACATTGTGAATTTGGTATATAAATTAGGGACTGTGATCATTCTAAAAATAACAAATGACATAATCATCTCAAGAATCTTATGACAAAACAAACCCAATAATTAAAATGATTTCATCATTGGCCATTTTCTTTTCCCATTTTCCACTGCCCAGTTTCTTGCTCCTGCTTCCAGAAAAGAGAACAGTAGTTTTAAACTTTGGCTATATTCTATTCCAGCTTCAAACTTACTACCACCTGTCTCCACCTATTTGCCAAGGCTAACCCTTCCCTACTTTTAATTCCACTCCCTTCTGCCTCCACTATGGGGAGAAGAGGGCAAACAAACAGAAATTAAAATGAATATTTACTTGATTATGCCTTACCCTCAAGCTACCATGGTATCTGGCACATAAAATATAATCAATAAGCACTTGTAGAATGAATTATTAAATGCCCTATAGCAAGTTCATGTTTTAAGCAATATTCAAACCTTGTGAGATTCTACAAGTAGGGGCTGGGGATGTGGCTCAAGTGGTAGCGCACTCGCCTGGCATGCATGAGGCACTGGGTTCGATCCTCAGCACCACATAAAAATAAAATAAATATATTGTGTCCACCTAAAAAAACTAAAAAGTAAATATTTTTTAAAAAGAAATTTTACAAGTAATAATTAATATTGTCCACTCTCAGTGTAAAAAGTTCAAACAATATCAAACTCATAATGTTCAAGCCTGGTTTACAGTTCCAATTTACAAATGCAATAATCCAAGTGTATTAAAAACTCTGCATATTTTTCTATGATAAATTATATTTTTATTCATCAATTAATTAATTCATATTAATGCCTAGTATGACATACAAAATGCTAAGTATCAGGAATACAAAGATGAATAACAGTTCCTGCTTTCGAGCTTGATATAGAGGGAAACAGATTTAAATCCATGTTTTAAATTTCTATAGTCTTAAAATTTTTCAGAACAGTACTTATATTCTATCAATAATATAAAAAGTGAGAATAAGGGATGAGGTTATAGCTCAGTAGTAGAGCACTTGCCTAGTGTGTGTGAGGTACTGGATTCAATCCTCAGCATCACATAAAAACAAACAAATAAAATAAAGGTACTGGGCTGGGGTTGTGGCTCAGTGGTACAGCACTTGCCTAGCATGTGTGAGGCACTATATTAGATCCTCAGCACCACATAAAAATAAAGGTATTGTGTTCACCTACAACTTAAAAATATATTTTTAAAAAGATGTGGTATTCCATCTACAAGTAAAAATATTTTTTTAAAGTGAGGATAATATATTTGTATTGCCTTGTGCATACATAAAATTATCTGGAAAGATAAATAAGAAACTAAACCTGAACTGTTAAATAAATAGACAGATAGATAAATAAATGAAAAGAAGGAAGGAAAGGAGGAAGGAACTAAACACTGATTACTACCCCTGCCCCTTGGGGAGTAACTGAATGAAAGGAGAATAGGATAAGAGACCTTTTATGGCATAACTTTTTTACTTTTTTAAATTGTTATATATCTATGGGGCAAAACGGGATGTTTTGATCTATTTATGCACAATAGAAAGATTCCATCAAGCTAACTAACATTCCATCACCCCACCAAGTTTTCTTTGAGTGTGTGCACATGCATGTGTGTGTATGGTGCTAATACTAAAAAATATATTCTTTTTGCAATTTTGAAATAAACATTATCATCAGCTGTGGTCACCATGCAGTTCAAGAGATCACTAAAACTTATTCCTCCAATCTAACTGAAATTTTATATTCTTTGATCAACATCTCCCCTTTCTCCATGCCTTCCCTCACCCCCACAGCTTCTGGCAGACTTTTTACTATACAGCTTTTAAAAAGAAAGAAATTGTATTCAAGGCAACATGGATGAAACTGGAGGACATTATAAGTGAAACAAGCCAGGCACAGAAAGACACTCACTATACGATCTCACTTACATGTAAACTCTATATACCTCTTTAGATTTAAGATATATATGAACATATCAACTTTAAAGAGATAATTTTTTTAAAAAAAGAAAACAATCATAGCAATGTACTTAAGTGATATGCTAGCATTATTTGCCTAAGGAATAGTGATGGCACAAATAAAAGACAATCGATGAATTTGGGTAGTATGTGCTAGGGAAAGTTTCAGAGAAGTGACACTGGAGCTCCTCTCCAAGAATGAATCACCAATGGAGAAGGGAAAGGGAGATAAGGGAAAAACCTGTACAAATATAGGAAACAAAAATATATGCAAAGGAAGTAAAGCTAAGGAGACCATGATACATTTAGGAAATACATTTAGGCTCAGTACAGCTCGAGGTAGAATCTCTTACCTCACCATGTCATAAAGCTTGACATACAACCTGCAGGCAATGGTCAGTAGGCAAAGGATTTTGAAGTAAAAGAATAATATAAGGCACTGTAATACTCCAGATCAAAGAACCAAGGTTATAGTGGTAGAGAGAGTAAATGAAATGAATTCAAGGAATTTAATAATATTTAATATTATTAAAGAATCTAATAAAGCACTTAGTTCAGTGCCTAGCACACATAGTAACAGCTCCATAAATATTAACTTTTCTTAACTGAGAAACTGTACCTGGAGAACTTTAAAGATCAGAACTCTTTCAGGAAAGCCAGGCCTAATAACTCGAATAAGAACTTGCCCAGGCAAAATAATTCACTATTTTGTCTATCCTCCCATAGCATTTCATACATAATATAAAAGAGCACCTATTAAACCAGACTGTGACTCTGCATAGCTCCCAGCAGACTGTGACTAAAGACACTATCATTGAGCAAGGACATCATCACTGCATACTATTAAATCTAGTTAAACTAAAGAGTGTACAACTTTTAATTAGAATGGCCATACCACCGCATGAATTTACAAATGGAACAACAATTGATAATACTGCCTTGCTGAAAACACATACAAATACAGCAAGTGTATTTAGTATCTAAAGTGATACTAATCAGAAGTATATAAGCTTTATAATTAAACTTCAAGTAGTCTACCAAGAAGTAGAATTAACATTACTCTTACGTTTTTAATGACATAAAATAAAAGCACACAAATAAAAGAAATTTCTTGAAAGTTGGCTCCCTATGGAGATAGGAAGGTCTAATTCAATTATGCAGAACTAACAGATAAAACATCTTTATTAGAATAACTATCAGTGGAAGAAATTCTTAGAACTTTGACTACCTTGCATAAACCATCAACTGTATTATGCAAATTAAAGAAAAGCCACAGCAGGCTGTCATTTTTTTAAAGAACTCATCCTATAATATGATGCATTTAGAGAATTTTTATTAGATTTTATACATAGACAACTATGAAAACAATAACTTGGTAGTTAAAATGAGCTAAAAATAATCACAAAAATTCATATTCCATCTACAGTATAAATCAGCTATTCCTTTAGCAAATATTTATGTGCTTTCTCAAAACTGAGGTGCTGACATAAGCTACCTTAAACAAAGTAAATTAAATCCAGATATAGTTTAGATTAATATGAAGAAAAATAAATTAAAACTTACTTCATGATATATTTGGCTCTGTCTATTGTTTGAGCTTTAACTTTTACTAAAAGTGGGTGACTGTTATAAGTTTCATTCTTCCACTGGCCATACAGATGATATCTTAAAAAATGATGAGATGAAGAATTAGGAAAAGTTAAATACTTGGAGGTTAATACACTAGAATTACTAGTAGTTAAAAATACAAAAATAATGTGTATTTACCTATGCTGATAGGGAAATGTTTTAAACATCCCCCATAGTTCCTCAGACATACAAGCATTGCAGTCCATCAAAGAAAGAGATGGAAGTAGTACCTGGTCAGTAATGCTAAGCAAACAGCTAAGGATAACTTCCTAAGAAGAAAGGAGGAAAAAAAAAACTATATCAATAAGAGGTCCATACCAATCCAGCTTCAAAATAATTTTTTGAAGAAATTACCATTTCTTGATTTCATAACACAATATCTAATTCCCCACCCTATCACTGTCCTTACTTGTTTTTCTCCATCCAAGATAGCAAATGGGGTGAGAGAAGGAAAGGGAGAGCAAGGGAATGAGGGACTTTTATCTCTCTCCCTTTCTCAACATGTTAATCTTCAAAGGAAAGGGATATTATTCTTAAAAAGGTAACTTTGTACAGTTGCCAAAAGCTGTACTCAGTATGTAAAGCATAAAATAATTATTTACACAGATGATTAAAGCTTATTCACAGTAAAATTTGCAATATGCTATACCTAAACAAACATTGGACACATTATTGGATTGTTCCAATCTCTTACCGTTTTCTCTTTATCTTCTTGTTTGCTTCCATCAGACTGAAACTAAAATTTAAAAAAAAATTAATAAAATACAAAGGTTGAAATTATGCAGTCACAATGTAGTTTCTAATTTGAAAAAAAATTAACTTACACATATAGCAAATTGTTTTTACCTTTTACACACTTGAAAATTCTAAATATAGCCTATTAAAAATTAACATTCTTAAATTTTATCTATATTTCTAACCTCCAAATCATTCTTGGCACATGAATCTTAAGTTTTATAAGCCAATTCTTTTCTCAACCTCCTTATTATAAACCAAAGCATCCTAAAATTGATGAAAGTATATAAAACCAAATATTAAAAAATTACAGCCCGTACAATCATTTAGTTATAATGCATTTGCATTTTCTACCCGTATTTCCTCTACAGAATTAGTTTAAAAAAATCAAACAATGACGCAACAAAAACACAAAAAGAAAATTAAACACGAAGAAATTTAAAGCTATGTTTTAATTCATGGCTACCAAAGTACTCGCTGAAAAATCAGCCCAATATTAAAAACATTGCTGATAAAGACAAAACCATTAGCTAACTTGGACTCACTGAATAAAAAACAACTTAAGTTCCTGTTATATCATAATTTGCAGATAGTCCCCTAAAGTGATATGACTGACAATGTTGACTACTCATTCAAAATGAAGCAGTAAATGGTACTTATGAGTGTTTTTTAGGGGTAAAGGGTTGGAGGAATGCGTGTAGAGGCCAAAAGGACAACTAAAGAACCTAAGGACAATCTAGATTTCTGGAAAGGATTTTAGTTCAATAGCAAGTGCAAGAAAGATAAAAGCTAGTATGTACCTAACAAAGTTCTTATTTTCTTGGTAAATAAGCATATTTTGTGTATGTATATGTTTTTGTACTTAAGCAGTTCAGTGAATGCTAACTACAGTGAAGTCTAAATACTACATTTTCACTTAACACTAGTTTGGGACCTACCATGTCTCCTTTATGGGAAAATGAATACAAACACTTCATTTTAAATTGGCAGGTCAAAAAGGTTACCCCTCACAGAAACAATTAAGTCAGCATATATCCTGTTCCCAAATAAGGAACTGGGTTACAGAGAAATGGCCTGGTAAAAACAAATTTAGATAGATGTTTTGTGTTGTTTTGTTTCAAGTATGGAGATTGTAATTGTGGTGGCATACTACATATACACTTGGAAACACAAATGAGGGTATGCCATAATTGGAAAAATTAAGTTTACAGTCTATTATGTTAAAGTTAAGCTAACCCTTTCCTAGAATACATACTATGATTCAAACAAACCTTAAACAGCTACATATAGTTTTTACCATAGAAATAAAACATTTTCTTCATTAGTAAGTTAGCCTAATTCTCTTACTAGGTAATTCATATGAGTTTATAACATCTATGTGTCAATTCTCTGGATTTCATAAGCAGGAAATTTTGAAAAAGAAACAGGGAAATAAAGTCATCTAGAAGAGCAGTAAGACATCTTCCTATGAAAGTTAATAAGAGCAAGAATGAACAAAAATAATTCAAGAGGTAAAAGCAAATAAAAGCAATTTTCTTTTGTTTGGTAAGAAGATAAATGAATTCCACTCCCTTGATGCTTTCTTTTTCTTTAAGCTTACTTTGCTTTTTAATTCAGAGTAATGTAAGATTCTCCTTTCACATAATATAATACTACAATTTTTACTGAATGCCAGGCTAAATAATGGGAGGGAGGCAAAAGAGAGGGAGTAAAAAGAAATATTTATTTATCCATTTACTAAGTGCCAGACATGAAAATTTAAAGTTGAACAGGACAAAACCCCTATATTTGAAAAGCTAACGTCACTATAAGATCAAAACTATAAGTAGTGATTTAATTTTTATGTCTGAATAAGACAGAACACTCACAAATATGTCTAGAGAGGCTATCAGCTCAATGGCCGAAAACAAGTTCCAACATCACCCTATAAAGACAGAACAGCTGGTTGGGCTGCACAGCAGTACTGGGCACAAAAAAAAAAAAAAAATCACATAGATCATCCATCAAGAGGGAGGCTTTGGGAGAGTTAAGGAATAAAGGGAAAAGTTATAGATATAACTACATAAATTACATTTTTATTACTAACAATCTATTTTTTAGTACTTCTAATCCATGAACATCTCAAATACTACTTGTGATTATACTTAATCTCAGAAGAGAAAATAAAAAATACTTCAGGCCTATGACTAGATTGGACCTGAAGCTAAATTATGGCACCATTTTCACCATGCTTATTCTTCTCATTCTTATTAACTACCATTTATTGAGTATCCACTAGGTGTCATGTACTATGCTAAAAACTTCATATTTATGTATTACAACTACATTGTGAGGAAAACCTTTGCTAGGAAGAATCCAAATAAGACCTATAAAATAATTTAGAAAATGGGAAATATAATCCACAAATAAAAGTTACAGGAACATGAGCTTAACAAGCTTGTATAAGAGATTATCAATCACCTTTCAGTTTTTGGTTCACAATTTTGCTTTTAACTCTTAAGACTTTATTAATGCTTAGAAATACACAATAATGTTGATAGTACATCATCTAAAGGTACTAATTGAAGTATTATCTTCTACCACATTTCATTTTTGGTCAATACAAATCTATATTATGATTCTAAACAATGATAACATGGTTATGTACACAGAGGATGATCATATGTGCTGGCTCTTACATTTTATTCCAGTATAAGAGCACAACATTTCAATAGAAAGAGTTGTGGTTTAGACAATAAATTACATGGTTTCCCTACCTATCACATTGGTAGAATTCAAATTGTAGTAAACAACTTTGTAAGAGTGATTTAAATATTAAAATATACCCAGAAATCCCTGCCATACAGCTCTATTTAATTTCACAAAATTGACCACCCAAAAGTAGAGCATTTTCAGTGTCCTTCATGAATGTGCTATATTTAAACGATTCTCTTTATTTAAAAATTGCTCTGGGGGCTGAGGATGTGGCTCAAGCGGTAGTGCGCTCGCCTGGCATGCGTGCGGCCTGGGTTCGATTCTCAGCACCACATACAAACAAAGATGTTGTGTCTGCCGATAACTAAAAAATAAATATTAAAAAATTTCTCTCTCTCATTCTCTCTCTCCCTCTCTCACTCTCTCTTTAAAAAAATATTTTTAAAAAATTGCTCTGTAAATCTAATTTGAAGGAAAATTAAGGTTTCTAAATTGAATTTGTTTAAAGTAACATGCCGCTGTATTTTAGTTTCAATTCCCCAAAAACAAACCTTATTCTAGTGTAAGCACTACTTACTTATAAAACAGCCTTTAAAGTACCACCAGTAGGAAACTATCTATCTGTGTGGGTAAATGCAGTTCAATCCCATGTGAAGACTTTGAGAGTCTGTGTAGAAATCCATCACAGGATTATTCCAACAGAGAGCAAGGCAGTTAATAGACCAACTCTCATATTTCACAGGTTGAAAGTTGGGGAAGAGGAGAAAGATGTTAGCTCTCTGATAATTCAATCCTGCACTGCATGGCTCCCAGGGCCAGGCTCACAGGTACCATCAATTGAAAATTGGAATGGCAGACATTGGAATAATAAGGAACTGACATATAAACTGAAGAAATGCAGGTAGAATTTGACAGCTTTCTCCAATGTCCTACATACAAAAATGGCCAAACCTCCACTAGGTGAGCATTAACAGAAATGTTTTCACATGTTACCTCACCTTTTCACACTTTGTTTTCTGAAAATAAATCTCAAAATTAATCTCAGAGAAAAAATTCAAAGTATTTGGGTAAAGGGACAGGGATTGAATAAATTGTCTACAACATGCATTTGGTCCACAATAAAATGTCTATTTTTCTTTCTTGTATAAAATGTGCTTTTTGCTGGGCATGGTGGTGCACACACCTGTAATCCCAGCTACTTGGGAGACTGAAACAAGAGGACCCAAAATTTGAAGCCAACCTGAGCAACCTAGTAAGACCCTGTCTCAAAATTTAAACGGGCGAATGGACTTTGTTGGGGATGTAGCAGAGTGGTAGACAACTTGCCCAACATGCATGAGGTCCCGGGAGGGAAGGAAGGAGGGGGGGAGGGGGGAAGGAGGAAGAAAGACACACATCAGAGCATATTGTATTCCTTAGCAGGGTCTCACAACAGGAGGCAGGAGGGAGAGAAGGAGGAGCCTGAGAAGCATAAGTCAAGTACATAGGCACCGGGGTCATTAGACCGAGACCTGGGCTGGGTTGTAGCTCAGTGATGGAACGCTTGCCTCACATGCCTGAGGGCCTGGATTTGATACTCAGCACCACATAAAAATAAAGATATTGTGTCCATCTACAACTAAGAAAAAAAAAGACTGAGACCTAAAATACAGGACTGTAATATGCACCCGTAATACTAAAAGCGTATCTACAACAGTTCTTTGTATCTAGTACATCAAGTCATGCTACCAAGAAAAATTACAAGTCATATTGAAATATGAAATCAAACACAGTTGGAAAAGACAAATTGAAGAAAATCTGAAGCATTAGAACCAGACTCAGATATGGCAGGGATGTTAAAAAACAGCTTTAATTGATATGCTAAGAGATGAAGTAAAAAGCATGCAAGCTCAGATAGGCAATGTAAGCAGAGAGATGGAAATCCTATGAAAGAACCAAAAGAAAGAAATGCTACAGATCAAAAACACTAACAAAGGGCTGGGGCTGGGGCTCAACAGTAGTGCACTTGCCTGGCATATGTGAGGCACTGGGCTCATTCTCAGCACCATGTACAAATAAATAAAGGTCTATCAACAACTAAAAATATATTTTAAAAAAACACTAACAACCAGGCATGGTGGTGAATACCTATAGTCCCAGCACTCAGGTGGAAGAATCACTTGAGTCCAGGCATTGAAGAACAGCCTGAGCAATGTAGTAAGACCTCCATCTGGGGAAAGGAGCACTGTCACACAGTAAAGAATGCCTCTGAAAGCTGGGGTTGGTGGCTCACACCTGAAATCTCAGCAACTCAGGAGACTGAAGCAG